GGAGATACTGGGGCAACATCCACCACTGTCCACCCAGAGGCCTGTGCTTGGTTCGCACATGCAGGCACTCAGCAGGGTGCAGGGGCTGCTCGGGTGGGGTGACCCTGCATGCCTCCTGTCCTGCAGAGCCCCATGTGTGGGAACACTCGGGAGGCTGGGTGGGATGAGGTTGCGTGTGGCTCAGGGGTGCAGACCCTGACGCCTCCTCCCCGTAGGCCTGGAACAACTGGTCACCAACCTCCTGAGCCTCACGGCTGCTACCTTGGGCTTGACCCTCCTTGGTGTCACCCTGGCTGGGACGGTCCCTGCAGCCAGCCAGTGTGAGCTGGACCACTTAAGGGATGAGAGGAGTAACTGCTTTGTGGCCCTCTCGGGTGTGCGGGTGAGTGTCTTGGAATGTTCCAGACTGGTGATGTCCTGGAGAGTCTCAGCCTCGTCTGTGCCTTCTCCTGGGGTGGACTCTTAGCCCAGGACAGGGGAGGAATAGCGGGCATTAGCAGATCTGCAGCAAAAGTGCTGCTTCTAGAACAGTCAGTGAGACATGGCCTCAGCTGGACAGAAATCATTACCTCCAAAGCTGGGGTCAAGTTCCAAAAGGATTCAGCCGTCATCTCAGGGGTGCACTTTCCCAAACAAGACCCCAGCGTTGGGAGCAAAGAATTGCTCAAGAAAGGCCAGAGCCCAGGGGGCCCTTAGGACCCTGGAGAGGTGGCCCTGGGTGGCACCTCCAGCACAGCAGGGCAAGGGCAGAAGGTGAGGCACAAAGGGGCATCCCGACTCCTCCGGGGCACGAGGGGCAGGTGGCAGTTAAAGTGAGGAACTCAGGAGGATGGCCCACAAACTTGGGACACACAGGAAGGGGAGGGGCCTGCTCCTGCAGCCAAAGGGAGGGCCAGGGGCAGGGGCCAGCACATGAGGACTGACTCTGGCTCCCTTCGGCCAGCTCCAGCCACCTCCGCATGCCGATGCTGGAGGAGGAGCCGGGTTCAGCCTGGCCCCTGCCCAGGGTCTTCTTGGGCACCCCTTTCCCACCAGATCTTGTGTTCATTTCCTGTGTCTGCGGTAACAAGGGACCACAAACTGGGGGGCACAGAGTAACAGAAATCACCTTCCTGACTCTGGAGGCTGGAAGTCCCAAGATCTAACTGCCACCAGGATGTGCTCCCCTGAGGCCCCAGGAGGCTCCGCCCTGCTCTCCCAGCTCCTGGGGCTGTGGGTGCTCCTTGGTGTGTGGCCACAGCACTCTAGCCTTCTCCGTGGTCCTACGGCCGTCCCCTGGGTGCCTGTGTCTTCTTCTCTCCCAAGGATACCAGCTGTTGCTTCAGGGCTCTCCTTAAACCCACGATGACCGCACCTTGAGATTCTCAATTAACTGCATCTGCAAAGACCCCATTTCCAGACGCGGTCACATTCAGAGACATGACTTGCCAGGTGGAGGGGATACTGTTCAGCCCACCATGGTCATGGTCAGCTTAGACACCATTCTCACACCTGTGGCCTCCTGCTCTACCTGGAGGCCATGGATCCAAGGAAGGTGACCCAGGAGTGGAAATTTTCGGTTCCCCTCAGCAGGTGCCTCCTGCAGTCAGCACGAGCATTAGCACTCACTTAGATTGTTCACTGTGTCCCTTGCTGCCCCCAACAAAGCCAGGCAGGCCCCCAGGGCTGAGCAAGGTGGGTGTCCAGGGCTGCTGTCCTCACACACCTCCACCAGAGCATGCGTGTTGGTGGAAACGCAGCCTCAACAGCAGAGACCCCCGGGAGGTGGGTGCTGCTCGGCCTGGGGTGCCACCTGCCATCCACTCCGCTGTCCCCAGAGTGGCCCAGGACACTGGACTTCATGAGGAACAGGTGGAGCCAGGTGTGCAAGGGGAGGGGAGTGGTTGATATCCACCCTAGCCAAAAGCAAGTGGTCATCTTGGGCCTTCAGCCCTCTGGCCATTCCAGGTAGACGGGGGCTGGTGTGTCCAGCAGGGGCCCTGGGCATCTTGCGTTTCAGGGCATCCTGACCATGATGCTGCTCTTCACTGGGCTGGAGCTGGGTGTCTCTGTTCTCTCTGCGGTGCTGTGCTGGAACCAGGCCCACTTGGACACACCTGGGGTGAGTCTGCAGCTGCCCAGACCTGGCCCTGTGACAGGACCTGTGGGGTGGATGATCTTGCGTGACCACCACAGCCACTGTCAGGATGGAGGAAGGATACGGCTCTGGGGCCCATGCAGACAGCACTGACCACAGACCAGCTAGGCCACTCGGCTGAGGACTGGATGGGCACTGGGGCAGGGGCAGCACAGTCGGGGCGGAAGGACCAGGAGAGCAGCAGCTGAGGTCCAGAGGTCCTGGGCCACCTGTGCCCAAGCTGGGCGGCTGGGTTTGCCCCCCACCCACCTCCATGGACAAAGCTGGGTGGGCCACCTTCCCCACCCAGTGGCACTTGCTCTAAATTCCTTGAGATCGCCGCCTCTCTGCAAATCAGTGAAATACGCTCAACCCAGATTCTGTCTCAGAAAGAGATGGATCTGCTGGTCGGGGACATCTGAGATCTTGTTAAGGGACAGCCGGCTGAACCTCATGACAGGGGCTGTCACCTGTGCCTGCCAGGGCTTTGTGACCAAGCAGCGGCACAGTCAGCCGTCTGAGGGTTGCATGTCACAGGAGGAACTAGGATTAAGAAAGAGACGCGGGGGGGGGGGACCCGGGGCTCAGTGCTCACCACCCTCCCCTCCGGGTCCTCTTCCTGACTCAGAGGGACACCGTCTTCGCAGCAGCCTGTCCCCATCTGCAGGGCAGGCTCCCAGCTGTGCTCCCCGGGGAAACTCTTGGGGAAGACAGAGAGGAACCAAGGGAAAAGGGGAGGGAGGGAGGAAGGAGAGCCAGGGGTCCCGGTGGCCTGAGGGTGGGCATTTAGGCCCACTGAAGACGCTCCCCAGAGGTGACCGAGGAACTCTGGAGCACTTTCTCCTTCCTCTAAGGAGCCTGTGGGTTCAGCGTGGTCCCTGGTGTGTCTCGCCATGGTCCACAGCAAGTGCAGAGGTGACCAACCTCTCAGGCCTCTGCCTGGACCCCAGGTGCTTCTGCCAGACCCCAGAGAGCCAAGCTAGGCAGTCACCGTGATGACCACGAAGTGCCCCTGGGCCCCCTCCTTCAAGGCCAGGAGGACTGCAGGACTTGGTGGGATGACCACGCAGACCCAGACGGTGGAGTCTCTGCCTTAGCACCGTGACCCCATCCTGGGCCTCGGGCAGAGCTCTCCGGGGACCTCAGGAACTTTCAGAGAAGCCTGCTTTGAAGTGAAAACATCTCTGACCGCGTATCTGCCTTCAGCCGCTTTCCTTTTAGTCAACAGACACCGACGGAGGGAAAAGAATCTAGAGAAGTTGGAAAAGTCTTAAATGAGTACCGGAGAGGAAAACAGGGGTCACAGCAGGAAGCCCCGCAGAGCCGCCCTCCACACCGCGGGCCACCCAGGCGCTGGCCAGTCGGCCTCTCCCTTTGTTCTTTTGCTGGCCACAGCCATGTCCCCCCAGGGCAGGACCTCGGGGCCTCTGCTGGGGATCTGAGAGCCAGCCTCTCCCCTGCTGCCCGGAGCCACGCAGAGCTCAAAGCGGGAGCTGCTCGGTGGCCCTGGTGCAGAGGCAGTCCTCCAGGCCCCGGGTGACCCCTCCAGCGGGAACCCTCGGGGCCTGAAATCAGTGCAGGGGATCAAGCACAGCACCGAGGATGGCAGCGGGGCCTTCAGAGCCGTCCTTGCCCCCAGGCTCAACCACACTCAGAACCTTCCTTCCCTCTCCCTGGGGGAGCCGGGCCGGGCGGGGTCTGGTCAGGACCCACTGCACACCTGCCCCAGTGGGGCCGCGCTGTGAGGACACCCCTGGGCCACGTGGGGACTGTCTGTCCTCCATCCCTTCTTCCCTCTGTCTGTCTCCTTCTCTCGGCTCACGGCAGCTTCGGCGGCTCCCTCCGTGCTGATCCCAGGCTCAGAAACACAGGGTGGTCATGACCCACCCCAGCTGAGCTGGTTCTGACTGACCAGCACCTGCCACCTCAACTCCTGCTCACCCTCCCCAGCGTGTGTCCCCAGGCTGCCCCAGGGCCCTGTGCCCTCAGGGGCACCCAGGCAGGGCGTGGCCCACCCTGCAGCTGGAGAGCCCGAGGCCCTGCTGAGATGCCCTGCTCTGCTGGTGCCACCACCCCACACTGCCTCAGCCGGGGGGGACGGGACCAAGAGGGTCCAGCCTGCCGACTGGGCGAGGGCCAGCCCCAGTGACCACGATCAGGAGGGGCTTCCTGGTTCAGAGCAAAGCACGGAGAAGAGCCGCACACAAGGACAGCAAGGAAGGCCACCCCGCAGGAGACCACGGGCCAGTGGGCAGGGTCCAGGTTCCAGGCCCTGCTCAGGGCCCCCTCCGTTCCTTCCTGGTCAGCTCTCCCCTGCCTCTGGCCCTGGCTCCAGGGGGGCTCCGAGTGCGGCCTGGACACCCTGCTCTCTGGGCCGTGGGGCTGGGCTGGGGGGATGGTGCAGACCCAAACCAGCTCCGCTCGTCCCCAAGGCCTCGTCTGCAGAGGTGGCTTCACGCTGCCCGGCTGGGAGGCCCAGGCTCCTGGGGCCCAGCCCTGCAGAGGGTTCCAGAACACAGGGTGTGGGGAGGAGGGAGCGGCTGCTCCACTCCACTCGTGGACTCAGGCACCCAGAGAGGGAGGCAGCCCGCAGGACGGGGACCAGGTGTGGACCAGGCAGCTGCCACTCAGCTCCGGTCGGCAAAGGTCAGGACACAGGAGGAGGCAGTGGCCTGGAGGCTCCTGCCCAGCGGAGGCAGGGGCCGCCGGACAAGCCTCATCCCTGGACCTGCAGGACATGGGTAGGGAAGGTCAGCTCCCAGGTGCCCAGCAGGAAGCTGTGCAGGGAGCCCAGGCCAGGAAGGAAGGTGAGGGTGGGAGGAGGTCTCTCCCTCTCTCCGCTCAGGACCCTGCTCTGCCCATGCCAGCCCCAGAGAGGCCCTCCTAACTGGCTCCGATGGCTTTATTTCAGCTTCTTTTAGAGGAATCAGATTGAAAGTTCCCTCTGCCTTTAAAACGATCAAGGCTGATTTGCCAAGTGGCTCCAGGTGGGGAGTGTCCCTGTCCTTGGTCACAGTGATGCCAGCGTCACAGTGAGCTGCGGGGAGGGAGGCCTCTGGCAGGTGCTGTCCGTCAGTCCAGGCCGTCGAGGTCCTTCTGTGCTCTCTTCTCCAGCTGCAGGACCTGGAGGGAGAGGCCGTGAGAACAGTGTCCAAGCACCAGCTGCCCCAACACACCCACCAGCACTGAGTTGGCCAGCCGTGTCCTGGCACTGAGAACACAGGTCACCAAGGAACCCGCACGACCCCAGCACAGGGAGCACAGTGTCCGGGGTGGCTGAGCAGGTGGGCACTGGCTCTTGCAGGATGCAGGACATGGGCACCACCCAGTGACAGCACCTGGGTGTGGGCAGCAGAGCCCTGCCCAAGTCCCTGCTCCGCAGCCCGCCACCCCGTGTCTCCTGCTGACTTCCACCAAACCCCCAGGTCACTCTGCCAGGAAGCGCATCTCCACTGCACTCAGCTGGACCCGGCATCTCTACCTGGCAACTGTGAAGTCCAGGGGCTCCTCTGGCCCCAACATCAGTGTCCTTCAACCTCGGCACCACGGATGCCAGGGACCAGCAATTCTCTGCTGGGAGGGAAGGCGTCCTGGGCACCATAGGCCATAAGCAGCGTCCCTGCCGGTCACCACTAGATGCCAAAGCGGGGACGCCCCCCTCAGTGATGACAACCCAAAGCGTCTCCAGACACGGGGGCCAACCATCCCTGATGGGGACAGCCTGGCAGATGGAGGGCACGTCCGTCTGCACACCAGCTGCTCAGAGACCTGCACCTCCTGCCAGGCTCTGGGCACGAAGGCTCCTCTGGTTCGTCAGGCTCTAGCTCAGCAGGGCACTTACAACTGACCACATGTCCCTGTGTGGACGAAGTGGCCACTTTCGCCTCTCACCGAGACGGGGCTGGGCACGGCTAACTTGCTTTCTGGGGCTCCTGCCTGGGGCCTGGCAAAAGGAGAGGAGAAGGAGCGCCCTTGTTTAAGTGACTATCAGTCCTTCCTTTATTCTGTTACTAACTGGAAAAAGAAAGGGGAGGGTGACCCATTGTCCCACAGGTACGTGGCCACAGGAAAGAAGGCAGCCGGTGTGGTGACGTCGGCACCACAGTGTCCACCGCGGTTGTCCCCTGCACATGGTGTGGCCCCAGCCTAAGCATCCGCCCGTGGACAGCTGGGCAAGGCAGTGTGGCACGTGGACCCCGTGGAATATCACCCAGCCTCAGGAAGGAAGTCCTTCCGGTGGGACCCGGCGAGCCTGTAGGATGTCATGTCCAGTGAAAGCAGCCAGGCCCAGCACCGGGGGACCACAGGCTCTCCCTCACACATGGAGGTGGAAAAGTCAAACTCATCAACAGACGGGCAGAGCGGGTTCCTGGCCGTAGGAGGAGCAGGAGGTGCCGACCACAGGACGCGGTCAGGCAGGAGAAGGGGCTCTGGAGCTCTGTCCTGTGGCGCGGTGGCTGCCGCTAAGGTGCCACGTCTCACACGTGGGCCAGGGGCAGATGCAAAATGTGTTCACCGCCCGGGGCCGGAGCCGTGAGGGCTGCGGGCGGAACAGCTTGCTCCGGCCAGTCCAAAACGGGCACGTGTCCAGAACGCCACGCTGTACACACCAACGTGTGTACGACTTTTGTCAAAATAGATCACAAGCAAAGCGCCCCCTTCACATCCTGCCTCCGTGCAGGACGGGCTCCGTGGCTCCCGGGGAGGTGGCCGCCGCACCCACCTGGTCCTCTATGCACCGGAACTGCCAGGGCCAGCGCGTGTTGTACAGGAAGGGCCGCAGGTCGAACCTGTTGTCGTCAGGGCTGTAGTTCTCTGCGTGGTAAGCGGGTGTGAGCGTGGTCATCTTGTGCCTGTTCAGGGAGTACCTCGAGAAAAACCGCTTCACCTTGTCGGCCACCTGTGGGCATGCGATATGTGGGCGTCGAGGTGCAAAGGGGAAGAGCACCAGGCAGTGGCACTCTGTGGGACGAGGCGTGCACACAAGGCTGGTGGGCCACAGCCCCTCTCGGGGCCTTCCCTCAGGGCAGCTGTGGACACCAGGCAGGGCTGGCACTGGCTGAGGTGAACACGGCAGAACAGCCAATTCTGCCCCAGGAGGCCGGGGCAGCCAGAGTCACCCCACAGGGTCCCAGGCAGCTCTGTGGGACTAGCACGCTTGTGGGCTTTGGCCCCAACAGCTCAAAACAGCGCTGTGTGCAGGATCCGACCTGGAGCCCTGGTGCTGCGCTCATAGGAGGCTGGGCCACCTCCTCGGTCACTGGGGAGGCTGAGCCTCTCTTGGTGACAAGGCAGACAAAGGTAAAGACTGGGCCAGGAGCCTAGAGCACACAGCACAGGTGGTATCTGGGAGGCAGGGCGCTCGCCTGCCCCAGTGGGCCGGAGGTGCCTCTGTTCGGGTGCTCCTTGGGTGGCTCCGTCTGTGACACCATGCACGGCCTCACCTGCCGAGGTGTGCAGGTGTCTCTCCACATGTTGAGCAGCTTGCAGAACATGCTGTAGGGGCCCATCTTGGCAATCTTCCTGAGCCGCCCGAACACAGAGAGCTCCGTGTATGTCATCCCCATGTCCTCCTGCAGAGAGCAAAGGTCACTCCAGGCAACGGCCAAAGAGGGCAGAGAGGCCCACGGTTGAGGGCAGAGGCCCAGGGAGGTGAGGCTGCCTCAAGAGCCAGGAGTGGACACTGGCTTCATTTCCAGCTTCCACTGGCCAATCTGGAGGTACAACTTGGCTTTTAGGACCGCAGGACAGTGCTGGGGCCACCAAGGATGTGCCTATGTCCTGAGCACTGGTTCCTGTGAAGGGGACCTTATTTGCAAAAAGGGTCTTTGCAGGTGTAACGAGGTCATGAAATGACCCTGGTGTCTGGTGGGTCCTAATCCCAAGACAGAGTCCTTATAAAGCGTCAGAGGAGACACAAGGAAAGAGGAGACGCAATTCTGAGACAGAGGCAGGGACAGAGTGACGAGCGATGTGGCCACAAGCCAAGGGCACCTGGAGGCCCCAGAGCTAGAAGAGGCAGGAAGAGCTCCCCCCAGGGCCTTTGTGGGGTCTCAGCCCGGCCCCACCTTGATGCCAGATGTGGCCTCTGGAGTGGAGAGGACCCCCTCCTTGGTTCTGGGCCACGTGATCTGTGGTCATCTACTACGGACCCACCGGAGGCCAATCTGGAGACCAAGCCACCCGAGGCATGGCACACCTAGCAGGTGCATCCTGTCTCCTGCCCCACTGAGCTGCTGCCCTTGGTGGCCTTGGAGAAAAGGGAGCAGGCTCACGGAAGTCAGGGCCACATGGGAGGACACGGGAGAGCTGCCAGCCAGCTCAGTCAGGCCCGCCAAGGTTAATGTCTGCTCCGGCCCTCAGGGCTGCCCTCCCCAGAGCCACCACCAGACACGCAGTGAGGCCAGCATTCTGGGACACAGCAGCGGGGCCCTCACCTCTGGCTGGGCCTTAGGGCCCTCTGTGATGTGGACATGGCCTCTTGTCCCCATGGCCCATTCAGCTTTAGCTACCCTGGCCTTCCTCAGGCCCCAGCCCCGGAGTCCCTTCATGTCCCCTCGTGTCCCCTCAGGGGCCCTGCCCTGACCCCCGCCACCACCTCCTCCATCTCTCTCCATCTCACCTCCCTGGATGACTGGCCTGCAGCACCCACAACCCCTGGGGCTGTCGTGGAGACGTCTTCAGGGGACTCAGCATTTTAAGAGCAGTGGCCACCTCTACCGGTTTTCCTGGTTCTCCACCTTGTCATGAGGCTTCCTGGCCTCCAGAATCACATGGGCCAAATCCCCGATCAGTCCCCTCCCGTCTATCTATCTCCACATGTCCCGAGGGTTCCGCCTCCCGGTAGAGCCCTGAGCAACAGGGATACCAAGCGGCTCAGGAGGAAATGTGAACAGACTTCTAACGACATTTTTATCACTAATGAAGATATTTCTGACAAAGTAAAGCCCAGCTCAGATGGCTTCCCAGGAACTCTACCAAAAAATTTTTTGAATGTATTTTGTTAGTTGTAGGTGGACCCAATACCTTTATTTTATTTTTATGTGGTGCTGAGGATCAAACCCAGAGCCTCATGTGTGCTAGGTGAGTGTTCTACCACTGAGCCCCAGCCCCAGCTCTCTACCAAAATTTTATATGAGAATTACAACCAGTTCTCACACCCTCTTCCAAAGGACAAAAGGGGCAGGATACCTCCTGACTCTTTCTAGGAGGCCAGCATTTTCCCGATACCAAACTAGGCAAAGATATCACATGAAAAGACAACTGATGAGAATCCCCTGTGAGTAGGCAAAAAATCCTCAACACCACACCAGCAGACCCAATCTAGCAGCATAGAAAAAAGATGATCTGCAAAGGGACTTATCCCTGGAATGCAAGGTCGGTTTAACAACCAAAATCGTAGAAAGAGTATTTGGCAAGATCCTACAGTCTTGTAAGATGAAGAGGAGGAGGAGGAGGAGGAAAAAACAGGTTGAAGTAGAAGGGAACTTCCTCAATACATACAGGGCACATGTCAAAAAGCCACAGCAAACCTCCTCCTTCCTGGGGAAAGACGGAAAGTCCCCAGATCAGGGCCAGGAAAAGGATGTCCGCTCCCATCACACTACACATTCTAGCCAGGGTTACTGGGCAAGAAAATGGAAAAAGGCAGCCAGGTTGGAGAGAAAGAAGACATCTGCTGCTTGCAGACAGTGTGTCTTGTAGGTAGGAACTCCTGAGGTGAATCCAACACGTTGTGGGATGCAGTCTCGACACTGAAGTCACATGACTTTCTACACAACAATCCAAAATGAATTTAACGAAACAATCCCACTTACAATCAAAGAGAATAATACACTTTGAAATAAGTAAATTTAACAAAAGACATGTAAACTAATACTGTGAAAACTATAAAACAGAGTTTAGTGAAAACGAAGACATCCCATGTTCATGAATCGGAAAATGTCATACTAAGGCGGTGGCATCCCCAGACCTGGTCTACAGGTTCTTTACAAATCCTTATCAAAATCTATGCTATTGTTTTTGGGGTTTTTTTTGCAGAAATTGCCAACTGTATCTTAAAATTCATATGAAAATTTTAAGAACCCACAGTAGACAAAATTATCTTGAAGAAACAACAAAGTTGGAGGACTCACACTTCCTTATTTCAAATCTTACCACAAAGCAACAATAGTCAAGATGGTGAGGAACTGGTGTAGACAGATGCAGAGACTGACGGAAGTGAACTCCAAGTCCAGAAATAAACCCACACGTTCACAATCAACTCATTTCAACAAGGACGCCAAGACAATTCACAGGGGAAAAGAACAATCTAATCAACAAGTAGCGCCGGAACGCAGACCTTCCTCACCCCACCCACCGAAGCTGGGAGCCCTGCACTAGGGCCTCAACCTCCCCGAAGAAGACATGGGGCAGGTCTGGTGACCAAGAGGCTGCGGGGTCTGGTGATGTCCTTCAGCAAGGGCCCAACAGCCACCGGTCAGCATGAGGTTGCTCTAAACCAGATGTCTCACCCTCTGTGAGGGATCTGCATCCCTCAGCCTGCCATGGTGGTCCCCTCCCTACCTACTTTGTCACCCCTCTCCTGGAACCCCTCACAGTGAGAAAGCCACCAAAGTGTCAAAGGCCAGGGGGGGACTGACGCTGGGTCCCTGAGCTTAGGCCGGGACGTGGCAAGGGTGCACGGGTTCCTGGGCAGAGAGAGGCTGTGAAGGAGCCCGCCCTGCCACACAGGCCATGGGGCGTGGGAGAAGCCTGCCACGAGAGAGCCCTTACCTCATCCGTCTGGGACACCTGTCCGTTGGCCAAGGGCTCCAGCTCCGCGGTGGCCGGTGCACACAGGATGCTGTGGCCAAGAACACGGGTTGGTCACCACAGTGTGGATGGGCTCCTGAGCCTTGGGAGGAAGCCCCAGGCCACCCGACCCGGCAGGTGGTCAGCAGGCAGAGCCACGCCAGGGTTTCCCTGGCAGAAGCGAGTGGACGTTCTTGGGGCTTTGTGACCTGACCGTGATGGGCTGATGGCAGGAGGGCAGCCACGTGCCTCTCCTCAGCACAGTCTCACCTGGGGCCGGGCAGACCTGAGGGGTCCTGTGTGCTGCAGGGCATTTAGGAGCCCCCTGGCCTGCACCCGGGAGCTGCTAGCAACACAGCCTTGGGACAACTAAAAATGCCTCAGCCACTGCCCAATGCCCCTGGGGACAAGACTGCCCCAGTCCTCATTGGGGCAAGGAGAAGGTGGCCTGGGCCTGGGGAGGACGCAGTGAGCCGGACAGCCTGGATGCCAGTCAATTCAGCAGACGCCATAAGGGGCAGGTGCCTGCTAGGTACCCGCATCAGTCCCCCGCCTTAGGTGGTGGGAGAAGAGTGGAGAGGACAGGAGGGCAGAGCCGGCCTGTGCAGGAAGCAGTGGCTTGGTCATGGGACCCCAGTGTCCGGCTGAAGGGCAGGACTCTTTCCCCAGGTGATAGGGAGCTACAGAAGGTGTCTGGGTGGTGGTGAGGGTGGCCCTGGGCTGGGCTGGCAAGACCTGGGCTCAGGAGCAGCCGCTGTGGCGTGCTGGCGCACACTCACCCCTGCAGGGCGGGAAGCCGGAAGCGCTCCATGCAGAACTGGACGAAGGCCCTCAGGTCCGTCTTGCTGATCCCCCCTATGGGGTTGATGTCTGCGCTGGAGCAGTCGTACTTGGTGAGGTAGCCGAGGAGGCTTCAGGAGAGAGGGGGGTGGGGAGACAGGGACAGACTGGCTGGGAGAACCCGAGGTCCCCAGGGCACGCAGTCAGGCTGCAGATGCTACCAACTCTGGACATCAGAGGACTTGCTTCTTCCAGGAGCCTGGCGGGTTCCAGGCTCCTGGAGAAGGTGGCATAGCTGGGACAGATGGCCAAGGGGGCAGGGACTGCAGAGGCCTCAGAGAGGCACCGGGATGCCAGGACGTCCTCGGGTCTGGGAAGCAGATTTGGGAGTCGCCAGCATTGGCCTCTGCAGGCTGAGGCCGGAGGGACCTGGCCTCTGGGTTCCTCAACCTTCTCTGTCAGCATCTGTCACTGTCACAGCCTCTGACGTGCCACTCACCAGGACCTGGAGCCTGCAGGCCTCTGCCCACCTTGCCCGTGGCCGCCCCTTGCCGCCTCTCCTCCGCTCTGCCACCCACCCCTGCTTAGCAGCGCCACCACCCAGCCTGGAGCGGTCCCTGCGGCACAGACGGCTGTAGAGGAGACACCCTGCCTCCAGGTCTCGCGGCCCCACCTGCCATCACCTGTCTCAAGGCAGCGTCTTGTCCCCTCCCCACGTGTCACCCCTTGCTCCCCCCACCCTAGTGTGGTGCCAGTTCCTCCTCCTTCATGGGGAAAAAGCCTCTCAGAGTGGACCCTCACACCCCTCAGTGCCCCCTGTGCCCTCCCGTGGCCCTCTGTGGCAGTGGAGGCTGGTGGCTCCCAGCAGAGCCTGCCCCTCGCCTGGTCTCTGCTCTCCTGCCTCACGGCCCTGCTCTGTCCACTGGCCTTTCCCGTTGGTGACTTAAAACAAGGAAATGTCCTCTCCTGTCCCCAGGCTGCCCAGCCACTCCTGCAGCTGCCCTCTCCTTCAAGTGTGACCCCTGGAAAGGCCTGTCTCGGAGTCGCTGCACCCCCACCTCACTGTCCCCCCAACCTGCCCAGCAGGTCTTTCAGTCTCCCACGCTTGGCTTTCTAGGGGACGACGGCAGCCTCTAATCCTGACATGGCCTCACCCCAGGGCTCTGTGTGGGCCCCTCCGTGAGCTGTGTCTGCCCCTCCCGCAGGCCTTTCCAGTCCCAGGAGCCTCCCACCGCCCGCCCCTCGAGCTCTCTCTGCAGACACTGTGCACACGTGCCACATGCTGTTGTCTGTCTGCCTCCACCAGGGTGACACGGGGCAGGGTGACACAGGAGCTGCTTTTGTGTTTTGTTCACAACACCAAGAAGACCCACAACAGGGGACCACAGTGCGCAGTGAGCACACCCAGGCTGCGGAGCCAGGAGCACAGTCAGAGGCAGGAGGAACAATTAGAATTAAACACCCTTTAAGCTCAGCACTACAGAAATGTCCACCCGCGTCTGCCCTGGAGAGCGCAGGAGAGAGGGCTGTCGGGAGCGAGAAGGAGGAGTGGGGCACAGCAGGTAAAAACAGGCCCGGCACACTCAGGAGTCCAACGGCAGGCGGCACCGTGGGACCCTGTCATGGGACCCGACAGAGGAAGGTCTGCTCAGCGCGGGGCCCGTGTGCCTGGAGGGCGGAGCAGCGGGAGCTGGACGGGGACGGGCGGCCCTCAAACGCCCCGAGTGCGCCACCTTGTCTTCCCGACATTCACCCAGGACCTGTGAGTCTGGAGTGCGCCCCGCCCTGGGACGACGCTTGCTTCTTGGTAAAATGTTTAGTAACAAAAGAAAAAAGGAGGGCAGACAGCGTGGGGGGAGATGTCCAGCAACACACTTCACAGACGGCCGCTCTCGTCCTCTCTGGGCAGCACGGTGCTCCCAGGACACCCCCGCCGTCAGCCCCCAGGAAACAGTGCCCTCCACACAGCACTGGGGCGACAGAGAGGCATGAACAGAACAGCACGAGGAGGGCAGGGTTTACCGGACACAGGGGACATAAATTAGGATCCAAAAGCTTAAAAAGTAGGACTTAAAAGACATCTGCAGACTTGCAAGGGTGTAGAAAGATTTGACAGACTGTAGGTGAAGGGCGGGTGGGAAGGGGCGGGTGGAAGGGTATGTATGGGGGTGGGACCGGGGGACGGGGGGTGGGTGGGTGGATTGGAGGATGAAGGATGAGCAGATGGATGGGTGAGTGGGTACGTGAGTGGGCAGGTGCTCAGATGGATGGACAAATGGATGCATGGATGGATGGATGGACGGACGAGTGGTCAGATGTATGCATAGAATGGGAGACAGGTGGGTCCATTGATGGATGGACAGGTTGATGCAAGAACTGACAGACGGGTAGATGACAAAGTTCTTGAGATTCCTCAGCTGATAAGAGAAGAGCTGAGCGGCCTGGAGCTCGCCTCAGGGAAGAGGGAACCGCGGCTGGGAAGACGGCCCAGCTCCCCCCGCTAAGCCTGAGACCAGCCTGGTTTATCTGGACAATGTGAGGAAGGGACTATTTTTCAGTCCATGTAACAAATGAGCCGTTGAGTTTGGAGGTGAAAACTACAGGCAAAGAAGTGACATCAGTCACCGTTGAATACCTAGGAGCAACAGGCCCTGGATCAGGGTGGGGCACAGCCCCAGTGAGCATCGTGGAGGGAGGAAACAGGTTGGGGCAGGGCGGGCGGGCATGGGCCAGAGGGACAGCAACGTCCAGCCAATCTGCACCCTCCAGGGGCCTGACGTTCTGGGACACCACGTTGCTGTGGGCACCAGACTCCCCGAGCCATGGGGTAACACGGCTCCTCCCTGGGTGTTGTGTGGATATTGCGAGAACCAGCCGGGTGCTGGGGGAGGCTGCCTCTGGAGGCATGTCACCCTGAGATCAGGGATGTCCAGGAGCCCACCGCTGCACGCCCGCCACACCACCATACCTCTCATCCACGTTGGCAGATCCGAGCACGAGAAGCCCCCCACGGGCGCCCCGGGACCAGAGGCTCAGCTGAGCAAACAGGTAGGCGAGGACCATCCTGATCCGAGCCTGGGCAACAGGAGGGAAGGAAGAGTCACCCAGCGAAACCCGGGACAGGTGTGCTGCACCCTGACCCCATCCCGGCCCAGGAGCAGGTCCCGGCAAGGCCTCCAGGGGGAAGCTGGCTCGGGGGCGTCCTCCTGCAGGGAAGGCCCCTGAGGCGTCCCGTCAGGCCAGCCTGCAGAGCTCTTAGGGGCCTGCTCTCCAAAGACGGAGGACCTGGGCCTCCTCATTCCTCACCACTGGCATTTCTGGAGGGGACAGGCCATCCACGCACAGGAGAGGGGACGGGGACATGACAGCCTGGAGCAGTGGCGCCTAGGGCCTCTTCTCCCTCCACTGATAAGCAGCACCCAACTCGAGGGCAGCAGCCCAAGAGGCAGGAGCAGGGCTGCTCTGATTGCCCCTGCACAGCCCTGCGCACCCCGAGCCCTGAGCCCCCGTGCACTCCTGCTCACCCCTGAGCACCCCGAGCCCTCGCGCCCCTGCGCGCCCTGAACACCCCGAGCCCTCGCGCTCCTGCGCGCCCTGAACACCCTGAGCCCCCATGTACTCCTGCTCACCCCTGAGCACCCCGAGCCCTTGCACCTCCTGCTCGCCCTGCGCACCCCAAGCCCTCGCGCACCCCTAAGCAACCTTGAACACTCTCACACACAAGCCCATGCTCACACACTCCTGCACATACTTTTGCATTCCCATACACAATCATGCCATGCTTGTGCTCACACAGTAACACACACATGCCCATGTTCACTCCCGGCACACCCTTAATTATGAGCATGCTTGTGCTCACACACTCCTGCATACTCACAAGCACCATGGAAAACTCTCAAGCATGCACATGCCACCTATGCACACACATGCTCACACATGCCCACACACACACGCCTCCATGTGCTCACACATGCAGGAACAGAGACTCCTACTCTGGCACATACACTAACACACATGCACACACACTGCACACACATGTTCATGTGCTTGTGCGTACACTCCACGCACAGCTACACACACATATGCACACTCACACCCATGCACACACAACATATTTAGGCATATCTGTGCACACCTGTGCGTACACGCACACTCTTATAACCCTGTGCCCTCTTAGATGAGCACGTGCTCAGCCGGCAGCCGCGTCCTCATGCCTGTGTGGTTAGTGTCCCCAGCGAGGCACAAGGCTACTGACCCCAGCACCAGCAGTCCCCAGGGCTTCCTGTGCCCCACTCCTCTCTGGAGACAACAGCCCAGAAGTGGAGTCACCTGCACATTCTGCAGGGCCAGGTTTTCCCTGCTGCTTCCTCCATGAACTGCAAATAGAGGACTTTTCCCCGTCACCAGGCGGAAGATGCCCAAGATGGCCTTCACAGCTGGGTCCATGTTGAGGCTGATGTGGTGGCTGGAAGGAGAAAGGACCAGTATGGGGGGCAGTGCGCATACGCACACCTGTGAAAAACACATTCCACTGGCCCTGGCCACCGTGCGTGACCCAGGGTATCTGGTGCATTCACGGCATCACGTGACGTCACTGTCATGCAGGTGCAGGACTCCGGCACCTGGAAGCCCGACCCCGCCAGGGTCACTCCCGCTCCTCTCTGACTCTGGGCTCTGCCTGATGAAGACCTTCCACACAGGCAGAGCCACACGGAGGGAGGCCTTCGGCAGCTTTTGAATCTGGGTTCCTGGCTCGCAGTGACTTGAAGGCTCACACGCATGTGGCGCGGGTCGACGTGTGCCCTTCGTGTAGCTGAGTGACACTCCCTTTCCCACCGCACTCTGCCTCTTCCCTGTCTGCAGATGGGGCTGGGCTGTTTCTGCCTCTCGGCGACCGTGGGAGCTGCGCCGTGGTCATTCCTGTTCCAGCCCCTGCTCAGGCCCCTGCTCCTGTCTCCTCCACTACACCAGGGGTGGGACTGCTGGGGGGGCAGCCTTTAGCGGAGCTCAGCAAATGGGGCGAGGCGGCTCCTCCTTTCTCCCTAGGAGTCAGCGTAAGTGGGCCATTCTGAACGGCCACGCCTCGCCTTCCCCACCGTCCTCGAGGAGAGCTGCCTGAGGAGGAGGCAGTCAGGGCAGCCTGTGAGCAGGTGCCGGGGGGGGCGGGGGGAGCCATGCCTTCCGTAGGCCACTCCTGTGCCCTGGTGCTCACTGGAGGTGAGGAGGCTGCCCTGGGCATGGAGGAGGGAAGGAGGCGGAGACGGGACGCTGTCGAGGACCAGGGAGGGCAGAGGACTGGCTCAAACCAAGGGCAGCTAGACCCCGTCAGCTCCTAGACACACACTGAGGGACAACGCAGCCACGGGTGTCCACAGCTGGCTCCTGGCCACCGCTGCCTGCCTGTGCTTGCACCACCGAGTCTACCTTCCGATCTGCTGGGCCAGCTCTCTGGCCCTGCTGCAGGTCTCCTGGGAGGAGTTCTCGCTGGCCATGTAGCAGGTGGTCAGCAGGCGTCCACAGAGCTCCCGGGGGTCCTGGGGAATGTAGCTGTTCTGGTTCAAGATGGCCTGGACATCGGCCAGCACTTCCTGATCTGAAAACCACCAGATCAGAAAGAGTAGAAGTCGCTGTGAATGTCCAGCCAATCCCAGGCTATCCCCAGGGAAACTCAATGGAATCCCAAGACATCCCCGGGCACCTGCACAGTCCCCAAAACGAGTTCCCCCCACAGGGCCTCACTGTCACGGACGGCAACAGGCTTAGTCACGATGACTCTGCAGTCAGAGCCACAGCAGCAACAAGCCCCAGGAAAGGACCTGAGTGTCCTGCTGTCCTTGGGCTCTGACTTCTGCACACGGCCACAAAGCCTCCTTCACCCACTATGCCACGACCGCCCACCCCGGAGCTCCTGGGTCAAGGACATCACCTACTTCCGTCCCTCACGGCCTCGCAGACCTGGAAGCACATGGAGTAGACGAGGCAGGCAGTGGCCGCACTGTCCATGCCACCGCTCAGGGGCAGGAGAAACCCGGCCTGAAACGGGCCAGCCGGGCACAGGGTAAGCCAAGCTCCCGACACACAGCAGCGTGCCAGAAGCGCAGCCCAGCCCTGCCCACCGACAGGCCTGACAGAGGGCTCCGCCTGGTAGGAAAATGCCCACCACGTGCAGAAGGAGGGAAGGTGTTCGCGGGCCTGAGCTGACTCTCCACAGGGCATCACAGACCAGCATGGCCACAAACTAGCACAACGTGGGCCTCGGAGCTCCGAACGCCCAGACAGTCCCGCCAGGCTCCCGTGGCCAAGCCGGCCGGGCCCACCTGGCGTCCAGCCAGTGCAGACGGCTGCCCCAGGCAGTACCTTTAGCTGCATGCACAGAAAAGAATCCCAAGCCTGTCCCAGACTGACGCAGGCCACCCAGCAGAACAAGCAGTGGACACGGGGCACCTACCTGGTGGCTTCGCCTCAAGAAATCCCAGAGCCAGCAGGCGGGTCCGAGGCTGCAGGGCAGTAAGAGCGCTGAGTCTGGGGCACCCGAGCAGCCCACCTGCGCAGGTTCCCCGGGGGAGATCTGCCCAGCAGGGCTGGCTCTCGCCAGGCCCCGGCCTCCATTGCAAATACCTGATGGGAATTAGGGCTTCTCAGGTCTGAAACAAGCCTGGGAGACACATATCACTAGTGTCCCCTTTTGAAATGGGGACACCGAGACTCAGAGGACGGCACCTTTGTGCCCAAGGATGCAGCTCAAGGACACTGCTGGCCCAGGAGATGAGCTCAGTCTCTCCGGCTCCAGCATCCAGACCCTCGGCCCCAATGAGGCACAGAGTCCTGGAGCCCAGCGTCCACCCCAGGCTCTGAAGACCCACTGGGCGCACGCAGTGCCACCCCACCCCAGTGCAAATGGCGGCAGCTGCTGGGCGACGCGGCCACACGAGTGAGGGGATCCCTGCCGGGGGCTGCCCACCTGATCTCCTCCTCCGGCCTGTGGTATTTCCACTCCAGGGGCTCAGAGACGGGCTGCAGCAGGTCCTCGTGGCACGAGAGGGCAAAGTCCACCTTCACTCTGGGATAGGGGCTCACCCTGCTGGCCTGTTGATGGACGTTCAAGACAAAGTGAGGTCCCCCATCAGGAAGCCGGGGAACAAAGACCAAGCCCTCGGGGAGACTGGGAGGGCTGGAACCCGAGCAGCAGGCGGTGGCCAGCGCCGGTCAGGGCCCAAGACATGGCAGCCGCTCCCTGCTGGTGGGAACGGAAGTGGTGCAGGGCTCAGGAACAGCCTGGCAGCCCTGGGGCTACACAAGAGTCACCACACGAGCCCCCGGGGTCACTCCTGAGTACGTGACCCAAGGGGACAGACATGAGTGTCCCAACACCTGCATGTGGACATCAGGCAACACTGTTCCTAATGGACACAGGCTAGTGCCCCAAGTGCCCTCAGTGGTGGAGGGTGAGCACCAGGGTCCCTGCCCGGGTGGAGCAATACGCAGCCATGAGGAGGAGCGCGGCTCAAACATGTGCCCTGCCGCAGGCGAGTGGAGCTCTGCTGGTGACGGCAGCAGGTGTGAGGCTACGCCTGGTCTGACCCCACCCTGTGACGTGTGCGGGGTAGCAGGTCCTTGCAGACAGAGGCTGGGGACGGGGCAGGGTGAACACTCAGGGGACAGCTGCTGCCCGGGGTGCTGGAGATGCTCTAGCATGGACCCCACGTTACTCGACTCCAGGAATACAGGGAAACCCCACTGGGCTGGGCTGGGCGGGGGACAGGTGTGGGCACTGCGCCTCGTAAGGCGGTTTCCAAACAGCGGCTGTGCCCACGTTGAGCTGCACACTTCTGGGCTGCCTGCAGAGTCGCCCAGTCACAGTGACCACTGGTTGGTGGCCTGTGGGTGATGGCATCTTAGGAATGTGGGGTTGGGTCCTTGGCCATAGGACTGGGGGGCCAGGGCGAGGGACCGTGCTCACCTTCAGGAGTCCTGGACACGCTGGCTCACCCCGGACCTCACCCTGGCTCTGCTGCCTGCCCGTCCTGCCTGCCCTGGCTGCTGCCCCCGTGTGGGGCCTTCTGGCTTCCCAGGCTGCTCCCATGTCTGTCCCCGTGTCACAGCCCCCAGGGGCCAACCCTCAGCCTCTGCTGCCCTGACCTCACCGTGCTGCCTGCGCCCAGGACTCAGGCCGGCCTCCAGGTCCTTCGGCCCCTCCGCAGCCCCGAGCTCCCGCTGCATTTCCACACCCTGCAGCTGCCGTGAGCCCGGCCACCTCCCGGGCCCCTTCCAGGACTGGGCAGGCTCCCCGCAGGGGCTCGCTGGGCGCTCACCGCCAGGTTTCGGGAGGAGATCTCTGCCCTGTAGCTCCTGACGTCCTCCAGGTCCAGGGTGGCCGTCAGCACCTCCTGGGGAGATTCCAGAGAAGCACGTTTCCTTCCGTTTCTTTCCCCTACATGTAACTGCCTCAGTCACTGTGCTGTGTGGACGAGTCACATCTACAGAGAGCCTGGGACCTGTGACTCCTGGGGCCCAGGGACAGGGTGAAAAGCATCCTTGCCAACCTAGACCCTTCCTCTGTTTCCACCAGAGCCTCTGCTGCTTTCAGGCCCTGGCTAGTGATCCACCAATCCCAGCATGAGACGCAACTCTGCCGGTAAGCACATGCAGGGACTTCCAGGGAAGCGCCTTTCTTGTGCAAAAGACACTCTGAACACAGCCAGGTGGAGATGAGATGGCTGGAGCTGCTGCGGCCATCCTATGCCCATGAGCAGAGGCAGCCTGAGAAGGAAACCAACACGGGAAGGTGCAGTGGGGCCTGGCAGAGGTGGAGCCAGAGCCCTGGCCACCCATGCCTGGGCCCTGACCTGGTGAGCCTGTGTCCAGGAGGTCACCTGCTCTGGCTCATTGTGGGGTCTGATACTTGTGACATGGAGCAGAAAAGAAGTTTTAACTCACAGATATCATTCCTTTCTTTATGAACAGACATCACAGTCACATGACATTCCTAGAATCAGTCACTTCAAACACAAGTATAGGACAGCAACAACAGCCTCTGTTCCCCATTGGGTGACGTGGGACACTGTGGTCACCTGGCTGGCCCCTGGCTCCCTCTACCTTGAATAGTGGGCCCTACTCAAGCTGGAAGACACTCATCAAGAGGAAGCAAACCAGGGGTCCCCATGCCCCGGGGCTCTCTGCTATCCCCTGAAAGGACGGGGGGCTGGGGCTGGCCCGAAGCCCAGGGTTTCATCCCCAGCACCACAGAGAAGACCCCGAAGCACAGGGAGGCACAAGCCACAGAGAACCAGGGCCGCATGGTGCCTTTTTCATGAAAGGTGACCCGTCCCACCGGAGTATCCAGGGAGCCAGACACCTGAGACCAGAACTGAGGGGTGAGGGCCTGGCAGGACGGACAGGCCAGCTGCCCGTAGCGAGGGCGCCGGGTGGCTCTGAGAAGCTGGCTCATGGCCCGGAGTCACGGAGGGCAGCCTGGAGGCCCAGCCTCTGCCTTCAGCCTGAGGACGGCTCTGCCACCCCCCGTGCCGCAGGCCGGTCACTCTCTCCTGCCTGTCCCTGAAGCTGTGGACAAGGTCAGAGGTGGGAACTGTAGTAGCCGGGGGATTCCACGCGCTGGGAATCACCTCCTTGCTCAAGGCAGATGCCGAGGATTATCCGGGGGCCGGGAACTGCAGGGCCTCCAAGGTGCCAGCCAGGGGTGGGCTGCAAAGAAGCCTGTGGCTTGGACATGTGGACAGGGTCTTGGCCAGGCTACCTGACTGGCAGGCAGTGCCCAGCATTCCTGCAGTAGGAGGGGCCTGAACCCATCTTTCCACCTATGCTGTGGTTAACGCCAACTGACCAGGCCTCCAGGACGCTGCCGCTTGGAAAGCAGAACTCGGAGGACATGCCCAGAAGACCCCAAGGGTAGAGGAAGGTCCCCAGGCACCAAGCAGAGACTGCCAAAGCTGGCCCAAGTGCTCTGGGCAGGAAACCCCCCAAACACGAGGGATTCTTCTTGGGGTGACCTTCACAGGCTGCTGTGAGGTGCGTCCCCCTGAGAGCCCGAGGCGGCTACAGGAGGAGCCCGCTTGCTGCCCGGAGCTCAGAGGAAGCATGGCGGCCTGAGCGCTGCTCACACCTCACGCCCGGCTGGGCGGTCCCGGGAGACTCCGCACACCAGCCTCTGTGAGCTGCTCCCACGGCACAGCTGTCCAAGGCAGCGCCAAAGACTCGAGGTGAGCCTGGACCCTCCCTAGACCCTGCAGGAAAGGAACTGACATCTAATGTGACTCAACACACTGTCGTGGCCCCGCGAGGCTGTGGACCTTCTCTGAGCAGTGACCGGCTGCAGCGAGGTCCAGCTGCCGTCTCTGCACGCCCTCGGGGTGGTAAGGGCACTCGTGAGCACCCTGGGCACCTGGCCCTCACCGCTGCCATCTGTGAGCTCAAAGAGCCCCTGCCCCACCAGAGGGATGGGTCTCCACTGCTCCCTGGAGCGCAGGGCACTGTGGGTGAGACCTCATGTTAACACGCACTGTCCTGGAAAACCGCGCACCTTAAAGGACCCTCTGTTCCAGGGGACAATGTCCTCAGCCAGACACAGGGCCCTTAGTCTCCAACATGGCACCGGGCTCCACGCCTGTCATCCCTAAGAAGAGGTTTCCGTCCACCTGCTGAGAGTCACTCCAAGGAGCCCCTCGCATCCCGCAGGGCACAGCATCGCCCAGCCCCACATCTCCACGGAGCCTGTCCAGCGCCTGCGGCTCACCATTGGGTGAGCATGGCCTAGGTTCAACCCCTGTGGCCTGTGGCATGGCCCCAGCCGTGCACGTGACTGGCAAGCTGTGCCCAGCTCACTCTTGGGTGCCCAGCCAGCAGTGCCCAGGCACAGTCCTCCCTCACCACCCACAGGTGGGCCACTGGGACACTGAACCAGACACCAACCCGGGAGGTGTGAGACCACCCTCTGCACCACGCTCATTACCACGTCGTCCAGCGAGAACTGGGACCCCTGGGCGAAGATGCCCCCGTTCATGGCGATCAGGGCACAGCCGTCGTAGTACAGCCGGTCGCCATCGCAGCCCTTCTGGTTGGCCAACAGGTAGATCCCGCCGTTCTGGAGAGGCAGAGGGGAACGGTCAGCGGTGGTCATCGTCCTCACCTCCGCAGGCCCCACGGGGGAGGCCTGGCCATGCCAGACTCTCCCTGTCCCACCCATGTCACCCAGAGCTCCTCCCCACAGCGCCTGTGGCAGGACAGCCCAGCAGCCGGGGTCCTTGTGGACCCCCGCCCCCCACCGCTGCGGGCTGCTGGCAGCATGCCTCCACTCCCCACAGCGAGGTGCACTGACCCCAGTGCTCGGCCTGGCAGAGCCCAGGCTCAAGCCCACGGCAAGAAACCTGTCGCACGAGTGACGGGTGCTTCTGTCCCTTGCTGTGCTCAAGTGCCCACTACAGTGGCCGACACGAGGACGCTCTCTTGTGTATTCCCTGAAACCAAGTCTCCCACCAACCAGAGGTGTCGACAGAGCCTGATTCCCAGGGGACCACGAGGGCTAGCAAGGCCACTCAAGGGAGCCCCAGGACGACGGCAGCCTGTGCTCCCTGAGTACAGGCCGTAATCATGGCCCCAAATTCCCACTATGCCTGGCCGGGCCCTGCCCTAGGCGCCAAGGCTGCAGAAGGCTCTGGGCTAGGGCTGGCCTGGGCAGCCCACCAGCAGCCCCTCCCAAGCCTACCTTGGTGGTGGCCATGGTCACCAGGTCCACCCTGGCGTGGGCTTTGCGCAGGACATGGTGGCTTCCTGAGGCGTTGGTGATGATCTCCACGCCGTCCAGGCCCATGTCCACGTGTGGGCTGTGGCGGAAGCACAGAAGACCAGCTGGGCTCCTTCAACTGCCCCTGGCAGCCCCTCCAGTTACCCCTCAGCAACTCCGCACCCTGCAGCTATGACCCCAGGACATCTGCAAACCCCAGGTCCTCCTGCTGGTCCACATGAGGTCATGGACTGGACAGCAGAGGGCCCAGCTGACCTGTGTGGTGTCCAGAGCTCCTCGCAGATCTCGCTCCCAATGCAGGTGTCCTGGGTGGCCAGCACCGCATCTCCAAATGGCACCGTCTCCTGCAGGTGGAGAAGGCAGACTCAGCGGCCCTCCTGTCTGGGCTGCGTACTGACCCCGGCACTACACGTCCCAGGAGACCTCTGCGAGGGCCACCACGCTGAGCCAAGCCCACCCTGGGTCGTCCTCAGGCCAGGGTCTGCCGGCCCAGGGCTCCTCCTCTGCCGATCCCTAAGGGTCTCGAGTCACCCCAGGCACAGCCCCAGCCAAGCTCTGAGCCGCTGTGGCTCAGGGGCAGGGCACTGCTCTGACTCACAGCCCCGAGCTCCGCTCCCACCCTCTGGACACTGTCACCAGCCAGTCTTCCCATCCCCTCCTCAAGGGGACTGCCCTGACCCCTTCCTGTCTCTGTCCGTGCTCCTCGGCCACCACGAGGCAAGCAGCCACCTCTCGCACAGGCCCAAAGCAACCAGGAGGAGCCTCTGAGGCCGAGCGCAGAACAGGTCCCCCTTCACGCCGGTCGCCTCAGGTGGGTGTCCAGCAGGGAAGCTGGCCAAGGACTGCCTCTGCCCTGCGGCCACGGCTGCTCACCCGCCCCCTCCTCATCCAAGAGATGCAACAGCAAGGGGACACCAGAGCCCCTTCCCCAGGGACTCAGTGGAGATCTGACACAGTCCTCCCAGGGGTGAGAGTGCAGAGGCCAGGTCCTGCCTCGTGGAGGGAAGGAGAGCAGCGGTGGGGGTGGGGGTGGGCAGAAGCGACTCCCAAGACCCCACCGCGCTCGGCACCCAAGTCCCTCCTTGGTTTGCCTCTAACGCCAGCCACGGAGCCTCCTGTGACTCTGTCCGTGAGCTCCTGCCCACGCAGCCCGCCGTTAGCTGGCAGAGGTGAGTGTGGCTAGGAGGCGAGTGTCCAGGGCAGGACTCACCTGCTGAGTCAGGTCCTGCAGCATCCGAGGGAGGAAGTGCTCCTCTGTGTGCCTGGAAGGGAACACTGCAGCTCTGAGGCCGGAAGGGACACGGACGGAGCACGGCCTCCAGCCTGGACAGACGCACACGGCCCCCAGCCCGGGTGGAGCACAGGCTCCCAGCCCAGGTGTCCCAGGTGTCCACAGAGCCCGGCAGCCCTCCAGGGCACTGTGACTCCTGTCTAAGGTAAACAGGACAGCAAGGAGCAAAGTGGACGGCTGCCTGGGCGCTCCTCCGGGGCAGCGGCTGTGCCTGTGGGCCTGAGCTCAGCAGCTCCATCCTGGGCGCGTGGCTCTCTAGTGCAGCGTTACCAGCCACAGCCCGTGACGGGAAGCTCCCGTGCCATTAGCCAGCACGCTGACCCATGCCGTCAGCTCCTGGGCCGTCAACCCGCACGCTGACCACGCCGTCAGCTCCCGTGCCGTCAACCCGCACGCTGACCCATGCCGTCAGCTCCCGTGCCGTCAACCCGCACGCTGACCCATGGCTTTGGTGAGATGGTGAATGACGCCGCACATCCACAGGATGGGCAGGGGCCAGGGCAGTGGGCTGGGAGGCCCAGAAGGGCACCAAGGGTGGTGGTGGACACACAGTTTACACCCTAGCTTCAGGTGGGCTCACGAGATGCACCAGACAGACGTGCCATCCTATAACGAGCACTCCTGCCCCACCTGCGGGTCCCGTGATGGCCACTTGGCTGCACCAAAAGTCTCCTCCCTTCCTTCTTGGTCCAAGCAGACACCCAGTGAGAACCTGGTCAGGAAGTGGACCTGCCCAGGGCCCTCCCCACTCCCGCCCAGGGCCAGCTCCGTGGCCCCCTTTGCAGGTGGCTCTAGGCTTCTGGCCCTGCTTTAGGGGGCTGGGACATCACAATCAGAAGTCACTGGTGATGCTGCCTCAGCTGGCCCGACGGCTCTGCTGGGGACGCCCTCCCTGCTGGGTGTGCTGTGGCATCCTCTGCTTGTCCTCCCAGAGGATCTCCCTGCGGAAGCCTTGGAGGGCACCTGAGCCAAGAAACCACTCTGGCCATGCTACGGTGAGCGTCCATGGCCCCGGGAGCCTCAGGGCTCCTACGGTGCTGCAGTCATGGGATGCTGGGGCTGGGAGTCCATCCCAGAGCATCAAGACAACGAGCCGCTGCTGAGCCCCCAGCAGGCGGAAGCAGGGCCTGGTGACTTCCCCGTGAGGCTCTGCGGTGGCACCTTGAACCTGACGCACTCGGTGCTGAAGCAGGCTGTGATGACCTGGCCATTTCACTGTCACCATCTGGCTGTTCCCACAAGGTAAACCTCCTGCCTTTTCTAACCTCACCAAAATGCAAGCTCTGGCTGCTCCAGCGCAGTGTCCCGGCCACCCCTGCCACAGGCAGAGCGAGATGGGCACTACTCTGGAGGGTGCCCTGGGACAGCAGGGCACTCATGTGACGGAAGAGGAAAGGGAATGAGCTGTGCCTGCTCCCAGGACAGGTGGGTCCCAACAGCAGCCTCAGGACAGCGGGCAGAAGTCGGCCTGCAGATGGAGCCGGGCCAAAGAGTAGGAGAGGTGCCAGGGAACCGGCCGCACAGGAGAGTGTTAGGGATAAACAGCAGGAAGACCAACGGATGAAGAGACAGCAGGTCAGAGAGAGGGGAGAGACGGGGAGGCAGGCGGGGCGTGATGTGCTCAGGACTGAGGTCCCCGAGGAAGAGGACAAAAGCAAAAGAACAAGACCCTTGAGTGCAGAAACCAAGCAGACCTCCCTGAAGTGACGGCATGGAGCCAGACACTCAGTCCCCATGGCAAAGGAGAGCTGTCCCTGGACCTCAAGGAGACGGTGACACCCCAGGACTCCTAGCAAACAGCCGGCCCCCACGATAGCAAACCCGGCTGGCCGGAGCCTCCCTCTAGCATTCCTTACGCAGAAGGGCCAGCGCGTGGGGGCCTGGAGGTGGGCCCTCAGAGCAGGCCAATGCACACGCCTGGGGGAGCAGGTGCCCTGTCGGAGCCCAGGTGTGTGCCCTGGCCCTGACCCACGGGGCCACCGGGGCCCTGGCTTGCTCTGGAACTTGGCATTGGCAGAGCTGCCCCGCACACTCTGTGAGGGAGATCCTCCTGAGGCCGCCCGGTACACTGAGTGCAAGGTGGATGGATGGCCAGTGGCCACGGGAGCCCCTCACATGAGGTCAAGAAGCCAGTGACCACCCACGCGAGACCCCTCTCCAGCACCAGCAAGCCAAAGGGCAGTCCTGGAGCAAGTCACAATCATGAAGAGAAGTTCTTTGTCACCTAGAGCTCTTTCCCAGGACCTGCCCAGCAGTGACGGGGACACTGTTCTAGAAATGTGGCCCCCGGATGTTGGCGTGAGTATGGAAAGGAGGGGGATCGGCAGCCCCTGACCGGGAGACCAGGGTGACGAACAGAGCCAGCCGAGACGCACAGAACCCAGTAGGGCATCGGCAGCAAGGCACACTCGAAAGCCACACGCCTCGTACGCAGGAACACCAGCCACCGGAAACCCCATGTCAGCGCCTCCGCCCACCTCGGAACACAGGGACCCTGTAACGAGGAGAGGGACCGGGCTCCTCGAAGGGCGCGCTCACCTTCGGGGTCTGCAGGTCTGGGGTGCTCTGGCTGCCTCAGCAGTGAGCCCCTACCCAAGGCCAGGGAGGCGGACAGCCACCGTCAGAGCACCAGACGGCCCTCCCCGGGAGGGAGAAGGATCACTCAGGATGTCAGCGGGCTGACCGAAGACCTGACGCTGCCCACTCAGGGTGCAGTGTCACCTGACGTGACTGCCCACCACTGACCCCGGCAGCCTGGCTGCGCTGTGATCAGCAGACTGAAAGGCCACGCTGCGGTGACGGGCAGCCAGCTCCCGTGTCCATGACCCGGACCAGGACCACGGAGGTGAAGGCCTTCATTCGCATCCAACCAGCGGCCACCGAACTCACCGGCTCCTGGACCACGGGGTGAACCAGCGCAGCTCCCGGTAGTTGGCCTCGTTGGCCAGGGCCATCTTGGGTCTGATGAGCAGGATCCGCCTAGAGACAGGAACGGGCTCACTCGGCGCTCCGAGCCACCGCCACAGAGGACTGGGCACCGCCACACAGAGCCAGCCCGAGACTGCAGCCCCAGACAAATCCCGTCCCTGCAAGGCAGGCCCTGACAGCCCACCCACCCAACGGGCAGCCCTGGGGGGCTGGGCTTGGCAGGTGCCCTCTGCTGGACATGGACCAGGGCTGCGAGGAGACACCCCGCCTAGCCCAGTGTCCAGGTAGCACACAGGCCCCAGGGCCCACCCTCTGGGGTGCACTGGCCCCACTGGGGATACCTCCAGGGGAGTCTCCAGCATGGCTCCACCAGCTCCAGCCCAGAGCAGGGAGGGGCCCAGGCCACCCTCCCCGGGGCCACCCACCTGTTGAGAAAGATGACTCGGCAGTTGTAGCGGACATTGCGGTGCATCACGGGCCTGCAGAGGAAGAGGCCATGTGTCTATCCTCTTAGGAAAGCCACATGTGGAGGGCGGGCCACGCGGACCCCAAGCCACTCCAGCTTGGAAAGCTGCAGTTTGCCACAAGCTAATCCACTGTGAGTGCCAGCGCCAGTCAGTGCCAGTCGGTGCCAGTCGGTGTGACTCTAGACCCTGTTTGCATAGGCACACACCCACTGCCCCCAGCACGACCTCAGGCACCATGACTTACCTGTGCTCATGGAAAGTGGCCACCCGTGGGCGCACGGAGTCCAACAGAAGCGCATGAACTGCAAAGCCAGGCCCAGAGCTCTGGGGCACACCCGGTGGCAGCGAAGCAGGCCCCTGACCCGGGCCCTTGGCAGGAGGGGCACCCAAAACTGGACAGGACAGCACTCTGACCCACGGGCCCATCACCTCCCACAGGCCTTGCTCAGGAAAGCCAAGCAGCAACAGACCTCTGATTCTCTGTCCCTGGGACTTAACTTGTGACCAGGACGTGAGGCCATTTCAAGCTGGTCACTGAGGACACTCTGAAACTGCGACCCCTGACACTCTGCCCAACTGGCCCATCAAAACCCACATCGGACCACCCAGAGACGCTGCCTTTGCTCGGGGCTCTGTGTCCCGTGACCTGCAGCCCCTCAGCCCTCTCTTGGCCTTTCTGTGACCTGTGACACCAGGGCAGCGTGACCTGGGGCTTGGGTGCTACCCACATTAGCAATCACGACGGAGTGGAATAAAGCAGCCAGTGATGGGCCGGCTTCTGACCACCAGCTGGCCCATGGGTCCTCCACGGCTGCGATGACCGTGGTGTGGCTGTGAGTGCACTGTCACTCAGACCCTGGCACCAGGAAAGGCACACACGTGCTCGGTTGACGTATGGCTCAGCTGGCTCACAGCACCACCGCACGCACCGGGGTGGCTCTGGCCGCAGGACCCCGTGTCCTGGCTGGACGGAAGCCCCCTCAGCTCCCTCGGGGCACCGTGAGCCTCTCCCACAGCCTTCTCAGTCCTACCTCCTCCAACCAGTTCAAAGTGAGCGGAACCCGCCCTCCGCTCAGGCAGCAGGGGCTACCTCTGTAAGGGAGCCCAGCAGATGGAGCGCACAGGCCTCTGTCCTCGGGCTCCTCCCGGCCCTCCTGGGATGTTCCCAGGCCTCGTGGGGCTGCCTGACCCACCCCTGCTGCCTGGCCACCTCGTCGTGTGCACCAGCCCCTGGGTCTGCAGGTCCCCTGCCCAGCAGCCGCTCACATCACCTCGTGGGCACCTAGTACATCCCCAGCTGCAGACGAGAGGACCAGGGTGGAGTGGCTGGTGGCTTGATGGGGCCACTGGACTGGTTAGAGCAGGGTAAAGGGCAGCAGAGTGGACACTGCCCCCCAGCCCAGCCTGAGTGACAGCCAGGAGGCTCAGGGCTGAGCTCAGCCCACACAGGGGACAGTGGTCCTCACAGGTGCTCATGCTGCCTAACTGAACAGGGCAAGCTCGTGCACACGGGGGCACGGGCCACAGGAGGACGCAGGTCACACAGGGATGGTCCACACGCAGCATCCACGAGGACAGAAAGGCACACCGTCAACAGCGGGGGCTTCAGAGCCAGCTCTCTGCCACAAGCTCAGGTTCCAGCCTTGCCACTGGCCGAGAGCACTGGCCTGATGCTTCCCCCCCCAAAATGGGGTCATAGGGCAGGAGGGGTGCAAGGACATCCCTGGCCCCCAGTCCTGGCCACAGCACCCCGACGGCCACCGTGAGCGACTTGCAGCTTCTAGCCCACTCAAGCCAAGCGAGACCAGGCTCCAGGATGGCGCGGTGTTCCCGGTCACGGAGGGTGCACGGGGAGCTGGATGGACGAGACCCTTGAATAAACGGGGCCTCGGCAAGCAGCTGCGCCGACTGCAGCAAGCCCCTGAACAACACAGACACAGGCACCAACTGAACAGGAGCTGTCCCCACGTGGGGACTCCAAAGCTCATCACATAAAGGGGATCAAACAGCAAAGAACACAGAAGTCCGCACGCCGTGCCCGTCCTAACGCAGGGCTCTCGAGATCAGTGAGAAGAGCCGCTAAAGGCAACAACAAGCCCGCAGCTCCCACAGGACTGCCACCCGCCACGCCACGAGCAGGAGAATCCCACCTCCCAACCAACAGGAAAATACAAACTTCCGCCAGGACTCACGCAAGCAACAGGCGGCTCCAGCCCCACCACCCTCAGCTCCCTCCCCTTCCTGGGGGAGCCAGCTCTGCGTGGCTCAGACGCCCCAGCCTCAGGGTGGTCTGAGAAGGCATTCCAGGTGCCAGGGTTCAGTGACGTCCTGATGCCCTCTCGTTCTGTCCAGAGCAGCTTGTGCATCCAGAGAAATGCCACGTCTCAAATGAGAAGAATCTTCAATACGTGGCCATCAATTGTTAAAAACTGGAAATTTAATAGGACTATAAAGCCCAGGCCAGCAGAGAAGAGTCTGAGCAGAAGTAACAGCGATGACGCGGGGTAACGGCTGAACAAGCCCCCTCAGAGACAGACGGCCCCACCCTGATTCCCAGCATGACTTCACATCACAGGGTCCCCTGGGAGGTGCCGTCAGGGAGGAGGTGGGGCCCGCGGATGCTGGTGGCAGGAGCAAGAACCCCCAGGCGAGGGAGGCAGGTCCCAAGGCTCCTCCAGGCCTGCGGGACCACCAGGCTTGCGGGACCACCAGGCTTCCGTGACCCTTTGTAATTCAGGCCGCTGGTGTTCCTCAGGCGGGAAGGGGCTGGGCACAGACCCACCCACATGCTGCTGAGGAGAACCCCTGAGCGGACGTCACCTGAAGGTCATGAGGCAGCAGACACGCGCCCCAGCCCTGCCGCAGTGGAGGGGCCGGGCCCTGGGCTGTCCTTTCTCTGGGCCTACCCTCCCACACACTCACACGGGCACTTACATCCCCACGTCACAGATGATGTCCTGGGTGACCGGAGACGCCAGGAGGGCCGCCAGCACTTGGAGCGAATGCAGGAGGGTGTCCGACTCGTAGTAGTGGTCCCAACACCCGTAGCCACTGCAGGGAGGGGCAGGGAGGGCAGAGGTGGCATCAGCAGTGGAGGCCCAGGCCAGCTCTCCAAGCCCCCAGGCACGTCCACCTCGCAGCCAGCAGCAGGCGCCCCGCCACAGCCACCAGGCACATCACGGGAGATTCCTGGTTACTATGAGGAGCGCCTGCCCTTTAGTGGCCCAAGTCACCTGACCTTCAAGGAAAGAACCAAAAGAAACAAAGGTGGACCCGCCAAAGACGTCTGCCAAGGAAGACCATGGACGGCCACTCGGCCGCCTGCTGTGGGCTGGACGGTGGCCCCTAACGTCTCTCACGTCCTAACCTCGGGGCCTGTGCCTGCGGCCTCGCTTCAGAGAAGGAGTCTCTGCAGACACAGTGGAGTCAAGGTGTTCAGATGCGGTCAGCCTGGACTTTCCTGGGTCTCCTTAAATGACCAGTGTCCTTATAGCGGTGGACAAGAGCCAGACCAGAGAAGGGGAAGGCCATGCAGAGGGAGGCAGAGACAGTGAAGTGGCCACAGGCCAAAGGATGCAGAGCCCCGGGGGCTGAAGCAGCGCGAGGACCCTCCAGGACCCTAAAGAGAGAGTGAGACTCTGCTGCACCTCGAGTTTGGCCTCCTGGGCTCCTACGCTGCCAGGGAATGCATTTCTGTCATTTCAAAACACTCCATTTGTGGCACTTGGTCACGGCAGCCCGGGACACTAACGCCGTGCTCCATGGTGCCACAGACTGTGAGGAGTGCTTCCAGTACCTTCTGACAGTAAAACGTAGACAATCCGTACGAATCCCCAACACCTTTGCCTTTCTGCACTGCGGCAGCCTGGAAGCCGACCGGGCATGTGCCACAGAGACCCAATCTGGCGCCTGCTGCGTTTAAGGCTGGGAAAGCCTCTCCTGCCCCTGCCTGGTGCTCAGATGAGAGTGGCACTCAGGAGAAGCCACGAGGGCCCGGCCCCAGGATGCCCTTCTCTCCCACAGCTTCCCTTCAGCTCCCAGGCCTGTGGGTGACAACACGGAATGTCTAATGCCAGGTGGCCAGCCACCAGTGACTGCACCCCTTCAGCTGGCCAGCAGCTGGAGGAGCCCTGTATGACAGCGGCTGGTCAGTAAGTGCCTGGGACCCAGATGGCCAATGACCTTCCATCGGCAAGGCCAGCTCAGAGAAAATAGCCGCCCTTCCAGGTGAGAGCCCTAGGTCCATGAATCAGAGGTCCACCTTCTGTTCCCGGATGTCCCACACAGGAGCTGGACCCCAGGCCAATAAGAACAAGAGTGGGGCTTGATGACGTGACCGGGCTCCTCTCCTGCCTGAGTCACCTTCCTCTTTGTCAACAAGGCAAATGTTGAAGGGAAGCCTGCTCAGAATGCTGTGACCGTGTGAAGCCAGCAGGGCTGCCAACCCCCGACACAAACACAGCACCCGGGGGTCTTGGTTAGAATCCTCCCTGGCAACGGTCAGGCCAGAGGACGGGGCTGCACTGCCCCTGGCAGGGAAAGGGGCAACCGGCACACGGGCCAAGTCAGGAGCTCAGGAGCAGAAGCCACGTGGCCTCGGGTGACTGTGAGTCCCAGGTCCCTGGCAGTTAGAGTCTTCAGAATTAAAGGAGGGGTGTAAGTTCCCTGGGGTGGTCTGGGAGAATCAGGGCCACGTGAAGTCATCAAAACCTTAACCTGATTAACCAAATGAACTTGGAAGGACAGAAAGCTGCCTTAGAACTACCCAACAGCACCTGAGAGAGGACAGTGCCTGCTTCCTCTAGGTCCAGAAACCAGAGCCAATGACGGAAAGGGACCAAGGCACGGGCGGCCTTCCAGATTCCACAGGGGCCCCGAGGGCAAGTGAGGCCAGCACAGCGCAGAGGCACGGGGTCCAGGTCAGAAAGAACCACAGCTGGTGAGGGGCTCACAAGCAGTGACCCTCTCATTATTTTTTAACTAGACACCAGAAAGGAATCAAGGATCCGTTTTCTTGATTCTTGCAAAAAGGTGTAGAGGACACAGCCTTTGAGCTTGCTCACGGGAAGCCCCTGAGATCAGCAACAGAATCCCTGTGGCCAACGTGCAAACCAAGACCCGTGGTGTCTTAGTCACGATGGCTGCCACAGCACAGCATCCAGACTGGGTGACTGACACCCAGCAGAAACCAGCTGCACACCGCGCAAGCTCCTGTGCAGCCGTCGTCCTGGAGAGGGCTGCTCTAGACTTCCAGGTGGCTCACACGTTGCGGGGGAAACAGGCTCCCTTAGGCCTTTTTTATAAGGGCAGCGATCCCACTGACCATGGCCAATGTGTGTTCCCAAGGTTGAGACACCATGGCCCCGGGCATCAGGTGTCAACATGTGAATACTGGTGGGGGGAGCACGGACGCTGAGACCACAGCACCGGGGCACGGGTGACCGGGTGCACCCCAGTTTTAAAGTCAGCTCCACCTGGTAAAGCTGGGTTCCTCTAATGACTCCATGCAGGATGATGCGGGAGTCTGGAATCACCAGCGTCCCTGGGCCTGTCTCATTCAGGTGTCCAGTGGCATCAACCCCATCCGCAGGCAGGTTCCTGACAGCCTCCTAAGTGGGCTTGGCATTTCGGCCCTGGTTGGTCCCACTGCTTCCTGCCCTCTCAGCGAGAAAGACCACTGGCTGCCCGCCGGGCTGTGGGTGTGTTCTCACCAGATTTCCAGCTCAGGTCCAAGCCTGTATCTTGCTCCTCTGTTTTTAGCAATTTCAATACCTGTATGTACAGAGAAGGGGGCAATTTCACTCCTACAACCCGTCCACGGGCAGAAAAAGCCTGCTGCTGCAAGGCCGCAGAGGCCAGCACACACCTGCACACGAGCAGGAAATGAGAAACAGGGAGGGCCTGCAGGCTGACCCTTGGCCCCACGGAGGAGGAGGTCACATCCTGTAAGCTCATGGACAAGTGGGTGCCAAGACCAGCTGCAAGAAGAGGCTGGTGACCGAGGTGGTGCTAGCATCGGGCTTCAGGAGCAGCTGCCAATGTGAAGTCATGGGAGGAGAGAAGGAGAGGACAGTGGAGCAGAGACCACTCTATACACCTAAGATGGCCTCACTCACCCCACTGAGATCTGCTCTGAGGAAGTGAAAGGAGGTTGATACATGGATTAAAAAAAAAAAAAAAAAAAAAGCCAGTAATATGTTATCACTTGAAGCACTGGAGTGACCACACCTGTAGGTCTGCCTTCATTAGCCCCAGTTTGGGCACAGGTCATCAAGGGTAGGCTTACACGAATGCAGTTATATAGTGACCACTCAAAACCCACTCTTCTCTGAGCTGACAGCTCTCCCCTCCCTCTACTTCCCTCTCAGGAAGGCTTTTCCCAATGCCCACCCATCAGGAAGGTCCTCTGGGACCAGAGACCCTCCCATCTCTGGTGTCTGCACAGCATCCTGGCCAGTGGCCACATACCCCTCCAACCTGGAGGATGGGCAGCTCTGCCCAGCCTGGCCACCGGGACCCCAGAGACATCTGAAGGCAGGTGCACCCTCGATCTTCCCCACCTCCACCTCTGGGGCAGACTTCTCTCAACTTGTGCCTCAACGTGTCCCCCCCTCCCCACAAACCAGGAGGATCTGGGCACTTGACACTGACGAGTCCACTATCCACTGTCCTATCTGTCCCCACTTCCACGGCTGCGAGTTTCTCCAGGGCAAAGCAGTGCGCACGACGGGACGAGACCCGCGCGGCTGGACTGTTCTTTCCTGTCTCCCGCCGCCCCCAGACTCACTCTTTAAAATTCTTTGCAAATTGCCCTCGAAGTCCAGGGCCCACTGGTTGAGGGCGCAGGTGGCTACGGTCACCTTCCGGCCCATCGTGGCCGCAGTCACTCAGGAGGGAGGCCGGCCGGAGGGCGGCAGGTCCCGCTGTCCTCCAAGCTGGACAGGCAGCCCTGGCGCCTGCCCTTCCGGACCGCCCCTCTCTGACCTCCCCGCGACCCGCCGCGGACCGCCCCTCAAACCAATCACGGGTCCGAACTGAAGAACCGCTGAGGAAGGCCACGCCCCTGCCCGGGTCGGCGAATCACGGGCCACAGACCTGCAGAGTCGCCGCGGCAGGCTCCGCCCACAGCGGAGCTCGGATGCGCCTGCGCAGCAGAAGATCCTCCCAGTGCGCTGTTTAGCCACGTTAGGTAACGTGAAAATTATAACACCCGCTCCGTGCCCGAAATAATGCATTGTCAATGCTGCCGGGAGCCTGGGCGAGGCTCACACCGCGCCTCCCCGTACCCACAGCGCTCCGAACGCCGTGTCTGTCCCTCTGGATCCCGCTCTCCTCCCTAACCAAGCGTTAGGTAACCCTACGCAAGGAAGATCTGCCTTGCTTCTCTGAAACTGTACACAAACTACACTTTAACGTGATTCTGTAATTGGTTTCTCCGCGTTAGGTTAGATACATCCTTTTGATCATTTTTCTGCAGTTTGGTAATCCATCGTAGGAATAAAGCCCAGTGTGTCCTCTCAGTAATGAATGGGCATCTACTTTGAAGCACTTTGCTGACATGCGAGCATGCCCATAGCTGCTGTTTCCGCCACAGCGGTCTCTGCAGACACGGGCCAGTTTCTCCAGCGCTTTGCTGAGTGGCAGGGTGTGAACATGTTCACCTTTATGAACCACTACACCTCTTCTCCAGGTGCCTGTACCGAGTCCTACGGGCAGTTTTCCATTTCATTTTGTGTCTGTGCACCCAGGGCCGGAATGCCTTTTTCCCCCTGTGAATAACTAATTGCCTCCGTCATCGCTGGGATCCTCAGTCCCTCCCTCCTGTGTTCCAAAGCTACTTCTGTCCCATGTGTACTTATTTCACATTTTTTTAAATCACTTTTTGCACTTTTAAAGTAATGCTTGTTCTTGGAGACTCCAGAAAAGCACAAGAATGTTGTATGTGTTCATTTAGTCCCAACTTAATTTCCTTGGGATAGTTTTCTTCCCCCAAATCAAAGGGACTGCTTTCTTTGCTCCTTCAGATTTCTGCTCAGTATCTGCAGCCAACATGGCTAATCCAGGGCTCGCTGCCTCAGAAAATGAGGGGGTTTTAATACCAAGCCGTTGATGGATGGGCCCTAACCACCTGCCAGGCATTGACTGTAAGAGCAGCTCACAATGGTAAACGTGTGTCTTTTGCAGCTCAGAGCATCTCCCAAGGACCTGGGAGTGGTTCTCAAGAATGTAACCTTCAACAGAATAAGATCTCAGTGTCTGAGACTCCAAGGGAGGACAGGATCCTGACTTTATTGTTGCTGGTCAGCGAGCACAGCTGGCCTCCCCTCTTCTATACAAATCAACCCTTTGTCCTTTCTACTTTTCTGGGAGGCCCTATGCTGCCCCTTAGTTACTTGCTTTTAGTTGACTTTAAAAATCACCAGTGCTGGAGGTCACAGAGCTGGGCAATGATTAGCCTCCCGCTTTTTTTGCTGTAGATAACACCTCTGACATGGGATTACAATGATGGTTGCCAGGGTGACTTTTCAGGGACTTGAAGGCTGTTTTTGTTGAAATCACTGACTCTTCACTTCAGCCTGTCTGATAGCTGACTTTTGGCAGCAGGAGGCCAAGAAGTCTATCCTCAGATCATACCGATACTGCCATTTTCTGGGTGTGCATCCCATAAAGGGCCTAGAAAATTGATTATGTGTATAATGGAGTCATTTTAGGTTAGGGAACCGTGTGGGCAGATGGAGACATTTTTAAATTCCCTAACAGGTATGTAACCACAACTGTAGCTCTTTTCCATGCCCTCCCCAATTGTAAATTAGCGAATCTCTTAGATTGTACCCCCAAACTCTTCCTATCAGAGCCACAGGCAGTGCTTCCTTGGGGGTAAAACTGGAAGCCGCCCCCCCCCCCCACACGTGTGCTTGCTCTGGTATTCTCTTAGGGGGTGCACTCTTCATCACAAGGACAACTGTGCCTTGCTAATCCAGTTTTAGCAAGTGCTTGATTTCTGACAGTCGGTCCCTATTTCTAAGAGTATCATGGTGTCTTCAGCTAACTAATATTTCAAGGGGGAAATAGAAAACACGCACAAAGAATTAAGTGAGATGAACGAAGTGTGGCAAACTTTGCAGCTCCTGCACCCGGGCACAGGGGGTTCATCTTATGTCCCAACTTGTATTCATGCTGGACCTTTTCAAAATAAAACGCTGCGGAGGAGAACAAGCCGAGCTCGGTGAAGGACCTGACAGACCCCACTTCCAATAGGTCTGTCGCCTAGCTGCCAACCCCTCCAGGGGTTGTCTCGCCTTGGCAAGGCTGGCCTGCATCCAGGGACTGGTGGCGGCAGGAGAACATGGCATGGCCATCCCAGACCATCAGGGCAATTCTAGGGGCTTCTTCGCCGCAGTTTCCGCCGGGGTCGACCACAAGGTTCAGCTCGCGCTGTGTCTCGGCTGTTGCCGCTGCTAGGTCCCGCTGCTCCTAGCGGGGGCGCCTGTGTGGTCCCTAATAAGCACCCACTCTAAGCTCCGTCTCCTCGTGACAGCCCGCCAGTCCGCCCGGAGACCCCTAAGTAAAGCTGCTGCCTGTCCCCCTGGATTCTTACACGGCTGGACTTTTGGGTGCCATTTCTCACCTCTGGACACCTCTGGACATTGGTCATTTCATTTTGGTAACATAGGAAAATGTCCCCTCCGCTCCCCCACAAGGTGAGCTCAAGAGCAGGAATTGGGCCCATTTTGCTCTTTGCTGGTCACGCCGAGCTCGAAAGCGTGGAGCATCCTTGCAGGGAAGACACCGAGGCACCGGGAGACGCACGCCGCCCAGCCGACCCGTGGCCACGAGGCCTCCCGGCTTCGTCCTGCTAGTCCCCGCCCCTTTCTGCGACCCAGCCCGGCGGGCCAGGTGGCCCCCCCCCCCCCCCCCCCCCCCCCCGGCTCGCAGCCCCGCGGAGCCAATGCCAGCCGGCGGGGCCGGAGCCTGGGCGGGGCGAAGGCTGGCGGCCCGGGCCGTCAATCTCGCGCCCGTAGCCGCCAAGTGGCCCGAGCGGTGGGCCGGGAGTCAGCTCAGGTGCCTCGCCCAATCGCGGAGCTCGGGGACGCCGGCCGCACAAGCACCGCCTCTGATTGGTCGCCTATCGCAATATGTCGCCTGGGGGCGGGGGGGGCTGCGGAGTCGTCCAGCGCGCGAGCGGGATTGGCTGGAGGCCTGCGGCGCCGGCGTCTTCGGGTGCCCAGGAGAGCGCGCAGGTGAGCGGGTCGTCGGCCCTGGTGGGGGTGCGCTGTTGGGAGCGGGATGCTCCCTCGGGTGTGGAGATGGACTAGCGCTCTGGTGAGGTGGGGCCGGTGGAGAGGGGCCCGCGCAGCTGTAGCGAAGGTCCAGCTCGCAGGCGAGCAGCTGCCGGCGCTCAGGTGAGGAGGGACAGGTGTGGGGATGCTCCTTGGCCCACCCTGTTACCCTAGGTAATGACCCTCTCCTGCTACGACTTGGTGAACCTCCTTTCAGCCGAATTGTGAATACTGCTATTTATTCTCTCAAGAAATATGTGGGTTGTATGGCCAGAGTGAGGAATTTGGGAAGCTTGGGGACAGAAAGGCCAGGGGTGGCTTGGACAGCCCCAAGCCCTGGAAGACCACCAGGTGGGTGGCAGTGGCAGTGCTGAGGATGGGCACTAGTTCCACCTGCAGGACTTCTTTTCTCCTAACAATCGGGATGGTTTGTAGAGTGGAAGTCAGGAATAACCAGTTTCTGACTCTTGGGATCGCTTCCGACACAACCCTTCCCTGCAGTTGCTGCAAGTAGGAGATCTACAACCCACACACCGCGAGCCAAGCACAGGCGTGCCCCAGTGGAACCCGGTTGCAAAAGGATTTGGGGAAAGAAAGGAGAGAGAGTGGATGTGTGTTAGGTGATAAATAATTGGTGGGAACATATTCACCAAAGTTTAATGATGCCTGGGGGATGGATTGGAAGGAGAAAGAGGTATTTCTTTCTTTTTTTTTCCTTCTTCTATGTTTGACTTATACTCTTACACAGTGAGTGTATATCATTTGACTTGTGAGAAGCAGAAACCTTGTAACTTCCATCAAAACAGGAGTTTACCCTTGAGAATCAGGGAGCAGGGCCTGTGGGCACTTCCTCCATATAGCGCTCATGCCCATGTCTGAGCCTCAGAGGCTGTCAGTCCGGTGCAGGGACCCAGCCGCTCTAGGTGAGTGCAGAGCCTGAAGGGACGGCTCATGGGGAGCACCCTGACACTGAGCAGGTGTGGCTTGAGAATCTCATGTGGGACCCACGGAGGATCACCAGCCTGTTCGGGTGGATGAGTGGGAAAAGGTACAGGCAAACCCAAGGATCACCCCCAAACCTGCCTCACCACGCCTTGGGTCTGGAGACAGGGTGCCCATGACCTCACTGACTCCTTAGAGACACAAGTGTTCCCAGATTTGTTGTAAGTTTTCATTATTGTAGGAGAGAGAGAGCAAAGCCAGACGCTGAGCCTCCCACGCCGTTTCAGGCCTTGGCGTGCGACTCTCCCAGTAGCTGTGCCAGTGGAACTCTCTGTACCTTGCCCTCTGTCCCAACACACAGGGGCGTGTCCTTCTTCACCCATGCCCAGGGCCCTGTGTGAGGCCTCATTTCTGGTCTGGTCTCCTGTTGGTCGTTATTAGTTGTTCCCAGGGCACTGCTCGTCCCCGCAGCCCTCTGAATATCTCCCAGGGTGAGTACTTGCACTCGCGGGGCCAGTGGCCTCACACAGGAGGGCTCCCACCCCTCGTCCACCCGGGTGGAACTTTTCTCTTTCATTTTGAAACCCGATTTGGGGCATGCCTGTGTCTACCACTGTGAGACTAGTGCACTGCTAAATTGGACCTCTTGTTCTTCCCATGATACTTCAACCAAATAACCGTGTTCCCGTATGGCAGGTCCCCAGAGCAGTGCCCAGCGCAGGCGTTGGGACCTTCTCTCACCATCAGATGTTACTCCACCCCCACCCCCTGCCCCCATGTGTCACAGCAGGCAGAGGTCCCTAGACCCAGCTGGGCTGCAGTCCCCAGGGTCTGTTAGCAGGAGCAGTTCCACCCTCCAGGTAGGTGTGAGAGTTCATGTCCAGTGGGCCCTTGGCACTGGGTGAGGGCTAAATGAGTAGTGACAGACAGGGGGTGTCACCAACAGAGCTCTGGTTTCAGCACCTGTCCATCCTCCATCTAGAGGTGGAGTCTGACTCTCCTCTCCCTGAGTGACAGTGAGCCTGTGGCCAATCGGATTTGGTGGGAGTGATGTCACAGGTCCTCCCAGCCACTCAGAAAAGGCAGCCTCCTTCTGCCTTACTTCCTGGTAAACGCAGGGCCTGAGGCCACCTTGCTGTGGGGAACCCCGTCGGCCTGCACTGGAGACCCCTGGAAGCTAAGTGCTGGCTGCAGATGGCTGGCTACAGGGGCCTCCGCCAAGGCCTGCTGCTCAGACTCCTGACCTGCAGAAACCGTGAGCAGATGAAGAAGATCTCTGGTTTTCTGTGGCACTGGGGCCTGAACCAGGGGTGCCCTACCACTGGCCGGCATCCCTAGGTCTTTGTATTATCCATTTGAGACAGGGTCTCGCTAAGTTTGCTGAGGCTGGCCTCAACTAGAGGTCCTCCTGCCTTAGCCTCCAGCATCACTGGGATGACCAGTGTGTGCCCTTGCACTTCACAAAGATTTGTTGTTTGAAGCCACTGAGCTCAGGGCTCATGTGCTTTGCAGTTGATACCAGAATGCTCTGTGCTGGCACCCCAGGTCTTTGGAGCCGGCTGATTTTGTAGCTGCTTCTGCCAGTCTCACCTGGAGGAGCTGCCCCCAACCCTGGCTGCTGCTGATAGTGAGGGTGAAGGCTGACTCTCAGGTGGACACTCGGGAGTCCAGTGTGGCCCTGAGCCCCTGGCACCCATGATCCCATTCACTTCTCACTTAACAAAGTGGGAGACGTGGCTACTTTGCAGAAGAGGAGCTGAGGCACAGCAGACCTCGGTAAGGGTTGGGTCACCCACCTCGAGGTGTTCAGGTAGGGACATGTTAGCCATGGGGGCTGCGCACACTGGGAGCTGTCAGCCTCGGATGGGGGCCATGGGGCCAGCCACCACCTGCCCTGCTGTGGTGACCCTCAGGATGCCAGAAAGCCACCGCGGGCGGAGTCATCCCAGGCCCCGAGGAGCCGAGTTCTCAGGCTTGTGTCGTGGGACTCAGAAACCCGTCTAGGGGCTGAGAGGGCTGCCCGAGAGACCCGTCCCTCTCCCTGCCTCCTCTGTCCCCACGTGTGGGAGGGGAATCCTGAGATTCCTAAAGAAAGTTGCAGGCAAGAGATGTCGGCGGGGAGAGGTAAGGGAGCTCCCGGGACCCTGCTTCAGGCTAAACCTGTACGGAAAAAGAAGAAGCCCGGCCCTCCTCCCTCCCCGCGCTGAGGACCCCCCAGGGGGCCGAACCCCGTTCTGCCTTTGGAACCCACCCACAAGCAGCAGCAGAAACCTCTGGACCCTCCGTCTGCCCCAGGACTAGCCGTTTCTTGTGGCCTGCCCCTGTGTCCAGCCAGCCGCAGCTCTATACGATTTGCTTCCTGTCCCAAAAATCCATAACGGATGCCCTGGACCCTTGGGTCTGGTGGACGTTTTCCTGACTGCTGTCTGGCCATGTCACAGGTGGCTTCAGGAATTTGTCCCAGGAATGGCCCTTGGCCTTTGGCCAGCCTCTGTAATGGAGCCGTGAGTCCTTTATCCCGGAGGACCCGAGTCTCCACGGTTTGGTTGAACACGCTGGACGCTAAACCCCCTTTATCCATCTGTAAGGGCCACCACCACAGAGCCCCAGGAGCATGGGCTTCGATGCCACAGGACTCCATGAAGGTCACTGAATCCCGCAGCCCAGGTCCCCCTGTGGCTTCTAGAGTGTGCCCATGGAATATGCGAGTTTCAGGTGGCCGATGTCCTGGGGGGGTTTGGTGGACGGAGCTGCTGGCCGGCCCTGCACACGAGTGTCCCGTGTGAGGTGCGTTTCCAGGCAGTGTGGGCACGAAGACCTGCGGACCTCCCACGCTTTAGTCCCGACAACCTCCACCCGATGCCGAGCCAGGCAGAGGAGTCGGTGGGGACGGGCCTGAGTAGCCCCTGCCGTGCTCCAGCGTGGAACTGAGTGCTCTCCCTCGACCCTGCCGGTCACCTCCCTGTGGTTCTGACATCTCTGTCTTCCCTGCAGGGCTTCACTCGGCTGCTGAAGGATCAAGCAGGTCTTGAAACCACGGAGCCCGAGCCGGTAAAGGCCAGTCCAAGAAGGAAACCTTCAATCTGAAGCCGCTGGGCCAGAGGCGGAAGGTAGTGTGCGGCTCACGGCCCTCGAGCGAGCGCGGGAATAGGCAGCGGCTTTGAAAACGCGAGAACCAACTGGGAGACCCGCTGAGGGCTCTCAGCTGCTGCCTGGGCTTCTCAGGAGTCCCCTCGAGCCCTCCGCCCTCTCCTCCCAGTGAGGCTGGTGCCCAAGTGTCTATGACAGCATTCAGTGCCCAGGACAGCAGGTGACTTGGGTACTGAACTCTGAGCCAGCTGAACGCATTCACCTGGTTTTGTTTTACTCCAGGGAGACTTGCTTTTCCTTCTTGGTAACATCGTCCCTTGGCTTTTCACCTGGTTCTCAAGTTGAGGGTCTCTTTCCCTCAGTGACTTTCTGGCATGTGAGATAATCAGAAGGTAGTGCAGTGCCAGGCTTTGTCTCCAGGAAGACGCCAGTCCCTCTGTGGACCCTTCCTCGAGGCAGAGGTGCGTGGGGGCCCTTGGGTTTCACGTGGATTGGCGTGAATACTGGAGATCAGAGGCGGGCGCTGACTTGGTGGGCTTTGGCTGGGAAAGGGGCAGGACTGTCCATCAAAGCTGTTCTCCTGCGAGATGAAAACGCCTTCCAACGTGGAAGTTTTATTTATGTGTTTGTTGGTCCTGGGATTGAACCTCTCAGCCACATCCCCAGCCCTTTTTATTTATGTTATTTATTTTTCTCAAACTTGGGACCTTCCTGCCTCGGCCTCCCAAGTCACTAGGGTTACAGGTGTGCGCCACTGCGCCTGCACCATGGAAGTTTTTTGGATGAATGTAAATTTTTAAAAAGTAATTCATGGTCACTCTTGAGAAAGAAATCAGTGTTAAAAGCTTTAACAGAGAGAAGAGACAGCCCTGTGTGGCATCCCACAGGCCACTCACTTGTCCCAGCAAGCACCTTGCATTCTCTTTCCTGTTTTTGTGTTGTTTGTACCTGCTCATGGGGGGGGGGGCGGGGGGCGGGTAATTTGCTTCAGCCCCTCCCAGCTTCACAGATTTCCTTCGACACATCCAGTAGCTAATTAGGCTACATCGCTGTGGTGGAACTAATATCATTTTATTGTTGAGCCAAGTAATGTTCTGCTTTAGAATGTTTTCTGTTGCTATAACTAAATACCACAGGCAGAGTGATTTATAAAGAATAAAGGTTTATCGAGCTTATATTCCTATAAGCTGGGAAGTTCAAGATTGGGTAACTGTCAGGTGAGGGCCTTCTTACTGGTGGGGATTCTGCAGAGTCCAGAGGTGGCACGAGGAATCAATCACATGTGAGACAGAACTCCTATCCAAGGTCTTTCCTCTCCTTTTAAAGCCACAGTTCCATCAGATTAGGCCTTTACTCTTGTTGCCCCATGTAGCTTTGCTCCTCTGTGAAAGGTCTCGCCTCTAAATCTCATGGTAGTTTCCACCTTCTTAGTAGCTCACAATGAGAATTAAATTTCAGCGTGAGATTCCATGTGACTCAAACTGCAGCATGCACTATATTATGGTTCGGTCTTTTTTTCTTCCATTGTTTGGCTTTCTATTTTTCCTGGGGTTAGTGATCGCCTCATTTTGTGCACTTGCTAAGTTTTTTATGCATCTACCTTTAATTTTTTTTCCTGAACGTTCTGATGTAACTGTCATTACCGGCACTAATTTTTCTACACACCCGAACACAGCAGGATCGATGGTCTTCATTTCCTTCTTCCTGAGCCATTTGTCTTACACGTGTGGGTGGTTTCTGCGCTCCTGCTCTGTAGCTGTTGTCCTGGATTGCCCTTCCACTGAGCGATTCTCTCGATCCCCAGGCTCTGGATAACCTCAGATAGAATTCTAGATGGAGAAAAAATTTCCCTTGGAATTTTAGAGCGTCTCATTGTTGTCTTCTGCGATCTGTTTGCTGTTGAGAAGTCCAAGGCTCCGTGGTTCTTGACCAGGTTTTCTGAGTGCTTTTTTTTTGAGTCCAGGGATTGAACTCCAGGGCGCTTAACCACTGAGCCACATCCCTAGCCACCCCACCCCTCGCCTTTTTTTTAAGAATATTTTTTCAGTTGTTGATAGACCTTTATTTTTATTTATTTATATGTGGTGCTGAGAATCGAACTCAGTGCCTCACATATGCCAGGCAAACGCGCTACCACTGAGCCCCAGCCCCCCCAGCCCGTTTTTGTATTTTATTTAGAGACAGGGACTTGCTGAGTTGCTTAAGGCCTCACTAAGTTGCTGAGGCTGGCTTTGAACTCATGATCCTCCTGCCTCAGCCTCCCAAGCTGCTAGGATTACAGGCATGCACCACCGTGCCCAGCTTTCCGAGCACTTTTAAGATGTGTTGGAATCGGGGGCATCACCGCTTTCCCCAGGCAGTGGGACCTGGAGAAACAGTTTCCTCCCTTCTGTCTGTAGGACACTGCGCTGTGCTCTCTGGCTCCTGGCGGGGAGATGGACAGGCACGGATGCCTGCCTGGGGAGGCTGCCTCGTAACAGGGGAGACGGGAGGCCTGGGGGGGAGGGCCTTGAGCCCGGACGCTGCCTGTCCCACCGGGAACCTGCTGTCAGGAAGGAGGTGCGGAAGGGGGCCAAGCACGGGTGGCCCGCGAGCCCTGCCCGTGCTCCTGGCAGAGCGGGGTCTGCCCCCGGGGACCGCCTGAGCAGGACGTCTTTCTTCCCCGCAGGATCCGATGGCTGCAAAATCCCAGCCCAGCGCTCCCCAGCCCGGGAGTCCCGGCCACGTCACCAACGGCAAGGCAGCGTCTCAAGGCCAGTGGGGCCGCGCCTGGTGAGGTCTCCCCCGTCCTCTCAGAGGTTTCCACCTGGGGCTGTGGCGCCCCCGTGGGGACCCTTTGCCTGAGACGCTTCGCCCTCAGCCCAGGGGTGAAGTAAGGGCTGGAGCAGGGGAGGAGGCCCATCTCGGTGACCATCCCTTTTCCACGACGCTTGGCACCGTGGGGGCTTGCGACTGATGCTCTGGAGGTTGGGATATCTGCATGTGGGTACCGAGGTGCTGGGCCCGAGCGTCACGCGTACTGCATGGCCCCTCGTACCCATGACCGCAGGTGACTTGGCACAGTACTTGTAACACCTGCACTGTGAGCCGACTGGCCACGTGAGCCAGGTGTGGACCTTTTCACTTGGCACCATGTGCGCCCTCTGAGTTCCAGCTTCTGGTCACTTTGGGCTTGGATGGGGATGTCAACCCCTGTCGCCTCCTGCACAGCAGCGGGGCCCTGCGTGCCCTTGGTGGCCTGCCATGGTGCCCGGGGTCTCGTTTCTCAGTGTGAGCCCCAGGATGGGGGTGGAGCGTCCTCCCTGGCCTGGGACAGGGCAGGTCTCGGGGGCCATGAAGGGCCCTGGGCTCCGTGGGTGCCCTCGGCCCTGCCCATCTCCGAGGAGCGCGCCCCAGCGGCGGGAGGGCTGCAGAGCTGGAGCCTTGTCACCAGCGGCTGGCTGGCTCGGGCAGGGTGCACACGGCGGCCCAGGGAGGCGGCCTGCTGACCGCCGGCCTCCCGCAGGGAGGTGGACTGGTTCTCCCTGGCCAGCGTTGTGTTCCTGCTGCTCTTCGCGCCCTTCATTGTGTACTACTTCATCATGGCGTGCGACCAGTACAGCTGCTCGCTGACCGCGCCCCTGCTGGACATCGCCGCCGGCCGTGCTAGCCTGGCAGACATCTGGGCCAAGACCCCGCCGGTGACCACGAGAGCCGCCCTGCTCTACACCTCGTGGGTGGCCTTCCAGGTCAGACCCTGCCTGGGGTCGGTGCAGGGGTCATGCTCTCCTGCCTCTGACTGGGATGTGGGGTCCTGAGTCGGGGGACAGTCACATTCCTGGGACGCCACAGGGCATGGTGGAGACGCGGGGCAGGGGCGTCTGTTGGCTCAGGAGTGTGCCAGCCGGCAGTGACATGCAGAGCGCACAGCAAGGCCAGTGGAGGGCTGGCCAGACCACAGGAGGGACTGTCCCAGCCCCCAGTGGACGCTGCAGAGCAGGAGGCACTGCTGGCAAGGCCAGGCCAGTGTTTCCCAACACGTCCCCTCCGTCCTGCTCAAGGATGTCCTTGGCTCTGTTGTGACGGCGCTGGCCTCCAGTCCAGGAGGCCACCAGGAAGGGTGGCTTCCCAGGGCACGTCCTCAGCCCTTTTTGTTTTTTATTTGAGACAGGGTCTGGCTAAGTTGCTGAGGCTGACCTTGAACGTGCGATCCTCCTGCCTCAGCCTCCTGAGCCCCCATAAGGGGACTAGGAAGGACCAGAGTGTCCCCGGGGCAGCTGGGCTGTCAGGGTGTCTGTGGCGCATTCCAGGGTGGGTGCTGGTTCGGCAACCTCTGCTTGGCCTGCAGCTGGAGCTCCCGGGAGCGGGAGCGAGGGCTCTTGTGGAGCAGACGCTGTTGAGTGGGGCACCGCCCAGGCCCCAGGGCTGCTCTGCCGGTGACGCAGCCGTGGACCGCCCCATCATGCTGTGGGCTGCCGGTCACTGGGCTGGGCGCTGTGTCTCCCAGGTGCTCCTGTACACGATGCTTCCCGACTTCTGCCACAGGTTCCTGCCAGGCTACGTGGGAGGAGTGCAAGAAGGGGCCGTGACCCCGGCAGGTACCCCCGTCCACCTGCCCACACCCTGGGCCCTGCCCGGGCGCTGACTACCCTGTGCCTCCATGTCCCGGGCTGGCCCTCCCAAGCCAAATCTGTCCCAAAGAGCACTCATGAGGAGAATGAGTTTGCTGGGAACTCTCCACAGCGCCGGGCTTCCAGGCAGAGGAGGGCAGCCGTTGTCCCCATGTGAGGCTGAAGTCCCTTCCTCAGTCAGGAGGGGCTCCTGGCCCCCACTGTCTGCCCGTCCCAGGGCAGATGGATGGAGCGGCCTCCTAACTCAAACCCTGACCGTCCTGACCCCACCCACCTCAGTCCGGCTTCAGGCTGCACGTGGGCAGGTGGTTTGGACGTCCTCCCTGTCTCTGCCCACAGAGCTCCCTGCCTGGGGGGAGGCTGGCGGGCTCCGGGCACTCACAAGGGGAGCCTGGGACCCATGGGACAACCCTAGTCTGCGCCTGTTGCCCCTCCTGACAAACCCCAGGCCCACGACTCGGTTGTGGCCAGTGAAGGAGAATGGGCCAAGGGAGAGGGCTGGCCTCCCTCCCTTCTGCAGTCTGAGGGGTGCTACTGGCCATTCGGCTGGTGAACCTGGAAGTAGCTTCCTCTGGGATGGGACCCAGGTTCCCAGGACAGGGGACCCAGGGAGCAAGTAGGGCCTCGACCAGGCAGGGACAGGCCGCCAAGCGACTGGTGCAGGTCAGGAAGGGCTGCGACGTGTCTCGCCCTCCCCCGCAGGCGCCGTGAACAAGTACCAGGTCAACGGGCTGCAGGCCTGGCTCATAACGCATCTCCTCTGGTTTGCCAACTCTCACCTCCTGTCCTGGTTCCCCCCCACCATCATCTTTGACAACTGGATACCGCTGCTCTGGTGCGCCAACTTCCTGGGCTACACTGTCTCCACGTTCGCCATGATCAAGGGCTACTTCTTCCCCACTAATGCCGAGGACTGGTATGTTCCCTAGGAGCTGCTCAGACCCAAAGTGGGCGGGGAATGCCTCCACCCTGCCTGTTTCTACTGCCCTCGGGTAGGAGGTCATGGCGCCCGAGGACTGAGACTCCTGGTGGGGGGCGGTGGGCGGGAGTCCTGTGACTCTGGGGAACGTCCTTTCTCAACGTCTGGTGCTCTCGTGCGCCTTGAGAAGAGAGTGGCTGAGTCATCATTTATAGGGTCGTCAGGGAGCAGGGACACCAGAGACCACTTCTCTGGGAGCAAGGACAGACTATTGCCCATGTCTGGACTGCCTGGGGCACCTGAAGTGTTCTCAGGGAAGTCGTATCTCAGCAGCTCGAGGTAACTGCTTCCCTGCTGGTTGTATCCATTCCCAAGGAAGCTTCTCATTGCCCACCCATCCATCTATGCACCCGTCATCCACCCTTCTCTCCACTCACTCACCCATCTAGCATTCATTCATGTGTTCGCCCATCCATCCATCCATCTACCCATCCATCCATCCATCTACAATACATCCATCTACCCACCCATCCGTCCACCCACCCATCCATCCATCATCCACCCATCTACACATACATCCATCATCTACCCTCTCCATCCATCTACCCATCCATCTACCCATCCATCTGCCTTCCTATATGTCCACCTACCCATTTATCCATCTTTTCGTCAATAGATGTTTGGTAGGCACTTCTTGTAGACACTCTAAATAGCGGGGCTCACAGTTTAGTCTGGGGATCCAGCAAAACAAAGTGTATTCCATTAATTGTTACATTTAGGCTCTTGGAAGTATCTCTGGATGATGGTGATTTTTTTTTGTTGTTAGTTTTTGGTGATCTGTTTTATAAAGTGTGTTATCGCTGGCCTCCCGCGGCTCCCAGAGGTCACTATGTGCTTTATAATCATCACCTGCTGTAACAGCCCAACTGAGGGAACTGGACGTGAAAACTTGGTGTTCTCATTAATCCCTGTTTGTGCGCAGCAGGGTCCGCGTGTGGGTTGTGTGGCTCATTCTCTGCCCCCTGCCTGAGGCTGGGCTGTGGGTCAGGGACCAAGGTCACACATGGCTGTGGATCTTGTGCAGCAAGGGAGACCCCTGGGACCCAGGCTCTGGCTCTCCTTGTCTACGGGTCACAGTTTACACTGTCACTTTCCCTGGGGCCCCAGGTCTGCTGTGTGCTGTGTGCCGTGTGCCTGCATCAGGGCATGGCGGTGAGGGCAAGGAGGACCCAGGAGCTCCCGCGGGGGACGTCTCTGCTGGGCCACTGCTCGTGGAGTGATAGCAAAAGAGGGTGCCAGGCTTGGGCAGGAACCTCAGTGTCCCAAGGCTCTGTGTGGCTCTGGGTGGCCCATGCCAGGGTGTCACCTAGGCCACTCATTAACCCACCACCACCGGCACCCCCCCACAACAGCGAGGCGCGGTCGGTGCGTGAGGCCTGTGGTGAGCGCGTCCTTCATCTGTTTCCAGCAAGTTCACAGGCAACTTCTTCTACAACTACATGATGGGCATCGAGTTCAACCCCCGCCTCGGGAAGTGGTTTGACTTCAAGCTGTTCTTCAACGGACGCCCCGGGATTGTGGCCTGGACCCTCATCAACCTGTCCTTTGCAGCTAAGCAGCAGGAACTCTACGGCCAGGTGACCAACTCCATGGTCCTGGTCAATGTCCTGCAGGTGAGGCCCACAGGGACGAGGGCCAGAGCTCTGACCCTGCCCAGAAGCCAGAGTCCCCTCCCAGGGCGTGGCCGGGAGCCCTTCCTTCTGAGCACCGTGGCCCCTCCTCGTCCCCTCCTGGGCTCAGACCCTGTGACAGGGACCTCCCCCGCCCCAGCATGGCAGGAAGAGCCGGCAGTGCTGTTGCGGGGTTCTCCGCGGCCACCCAGGCCACCTGGTCTGGCGTTGCGGTGGCGGCGGCCAACGCGCCCCTGTCCTGCAGGCCATGTACGTGCTTGACTTCTTCTGGAACGAGACCTGGTACCTGAAGACCATCGACATCTGCCACGACCACTTCGGCTGGTACCTGGGCTGGGGCGACTGCGTCTGGCTGCCGTACCTGTACACGCTGCAGGTGAGGAGTGGCGGCGGTGGCCAGCCTCTCGGGACTCGGGGCTACACCCAGGGCCCTGTGCCGCCCCCAGGCACCCAGGGCCGACCCTGAGCACACACACTGCACCAAGTGCCGAGGTGTCTGTCCCTGGGGGGCCACTGAAGTTGTCCCCGCTCCTAGGAAGAAGGGAAGGTGCTGTGTTATGTGGCTCCCCGACTTATGATGGGGTCCTGTCCTGAACATCCTGCCCTGCGTGGAGAATACCAGAGTCAAAAGTGCACTCTGAGGCAGTGGGGGACGCGCGAGGCCAGCAGCCACGCCACAGTCCCGGGCCTGCTCCAGGGCTGTGCAGGAGTGGGGAGCCACAGCGTGGATCGTCCTCTGGGACCAGCTGGGAGGTGGGGTCAAAGCCGGTCACAGGGCGGTGATGGCAGGTGTCTGGGTGGCCTGCCGCCCGTGCCAGGGCCCCGAGGAAATAGCTGCTCCTGGCAGAGGGTGGGGTGAGGGTAAAGGCCCTGGCATCGTGGTGACTTCAAGTCTGCCAGGGCCTGGCAGCCCACCAGGACCTGCTCCTCCACTTGGCTGGCCGCCGGCTCGCTGGATCCGGGACTGGCTCCATTTCCAGGCGCTAAACTGTGGGAGCGCAGTTCTCCTCGGGGACTGGGCCTTGATTAGTGGCTTGAGGCCAACACAGCCCTCTGGGTAGGTGCTGTGTCCAGTCAGTGCAGGACCAGGGCCATCCCGAGGCCTGCCCCTGCCCATGTCTGGGAGGCGCTGCTCACCCATCCCTCGGGCCCCCGCAGGGCCTGTACCTGGTCTACCACCCCGTGCAGCTGTCCACCCACCACGCCGTGGCTGTCCTGCTGCTGGGCTTGCTGGGCTACTACATTTTCCGGATGGCCAACCATCAGAAGGACCTGTTCCGCCGGACGGATGGACGCTGCCTCATCTGGGGCCGGAAGCCCAAGGCCATCGAGTGCGTGTACACGTCGGCAGATGGGCAGAAGCACCACAGCAAGCTGCTGGTGTCGGGCTTCTGGGGCGTGGCCCGCCACTTCAACTACACGGGCGACCTGATGGGCAGCCTGGCCTACTGCCTGGCCTGTGGCGGCGGCCACCTGCTGCCCTACTTCTACATCGTCTACATGACCATCCTGCTCACCCACCGCTGCCTCCGGGACGAGCACCGCTGTGCCAGCAAGTACGGCCGCGACTGGCAGCGCTACACTGCCGCCGTGCCCTACCGCCTGCTGCCCGGGGTCTTCTAGGGCCCAGGAGCTCTGGGGCCGTGACGAGCGCTGAGCCCGGCTGGTGGGGCTGGCGTCCCAGCCCTCTGCGGGAGCCCAGCACCCTCACCTGGAGACACAGCGCCCGGCATTGTGCCAGGGGGTTCTGGGTTCACCGCTGCCTCCTGCCAGCTGGCCGCTGGCGCCCTCTGGTCTGCCCCCAGGGCAGGAGGGACGGCCCTTTGTAACTGTTCACGTGGGAGCCCAGGCTGCCGCTCTGCCCAGGGGAACCCGCAGCTGAAGCCCTTCAGGCCATCTTGTCCCCGAGGCGAGGACGGCTCTGACGCCTGCGAGAGAAAAGTGGGACCAGGAGCTGCACACAGCAGGCTGCCCACACCCACCTCACGTCCACTCTGTGGCCATGGGCAGGCCCTGGGGACAGCCCTCCTTCGCCGCCTGCACACTGGTAACTGGTTAGCCGAAGGCACCTGCACACTGGTAACTGGTCAGCGGAGGGCCCGAGGGACACCGCAGAGCCAGGGCGTCTGGTTGGTTTCCTTTTGCTCCTGCTGCACAGCCGCCAGGGGTGTGGCATGGTGTGTGCAGGACCAGCCAGCCCAGCTATGGCCTTTCTGAAATAAGGCCGCGGGCTCCCCATGCCCGGCTCCAGGGAGGTCACCCACCAGCCTCGGCCACCTGCCTGTGGAAGGTGTGTCCAGCTTGCTGCTGACCCTGAGTGGACTCTGGCTCAGAGAGCTCCATCCCTGGCTCAGAGAGCTCCATCCCAGGCCTCGCCGTGCCTTCGAGGAGTCCCCGCTTGGGAGGGGCTCCCTCCCAGGGCTTTCCTTACCAGCCCTGTCCCAGACTCAGGGTTTCTGAAAGCTATCTTCAGACCTGATTCCACAGCACACCTGCTCCTTTTTTATATTAAACGTTCCCTGTTCAAATAAGTCCCGGTGTGCTTTCTGTCCCTGGGTGGCCTCTCCCATCCTAGGACTGTTTCTGGGTGCAGACCCAGCGTAGGTACCCAGCAGGGACTCGGTGAGCCGAGTGCCTCCACGTGGGTGCTCGGCTGGAGGTGGGGCGTCTGCTGCCGTCACCAGTGGAGGAACCACGCTTGGCACTCGTCCCAGCAGGTGGACAGATAGCGTGACCGTGTCTGTCTCCCCTTCTGATCAGTGTGGCGTCATCACTCTGTGATCTGGTTGCCTAGGTAACCCGGACAGTAGCCCCGATCTTCCTACATCCCCACGGAGGAGCTAAGCTCACCTGTTCCTCTGTGGCATTACCCCTAGCCCTGTTGGGGATAGAGTGTTCCCTGGAAACACCTTTGTGTGTCCCCTTCTCTCGCTCTGCCCTTGGGTGTGGCCTTCCTAGATGTCAGTCCACCTGCCGACAGCAGACATCATGAGGCTAGACTCAGCCCCTGAAACCTGACCCCTGGCCTCATTTGAATGGCTTCTCCTGGGTAGAAGGGGTCAGCACGTCCAGGCTCGCGCTCGCTCTCTTTCTGTGGACCCTTAAGGTCAGAGGAGCCGTCACAGCTACCCCCAAAGAAAAAGGCATTTCTGTCTCTTGTGTGGTCATTTCATGCAGCCCAGTTAGCCCAGTTCCCCTGGAGTGACCCCTGAGTGTCTTAGTCGCGAGCAACCTGGCAATTGGCGTCCCTTGGTGGGCGAGAGGTCTGCGTGTTTAAGTCACCGGGAACCCAACAGAGAGAATCCAGAGAAGGCCGGGCCGTCTGCTCCTGGAGAGCTGGAGGTGAGACGCACAGAAGCCTGTGCCCACTCCCCAGGGCAGCCTGGCCTGCTTCGGGGTTCAACTGGTTGGACAGAGACAGCGGCTCCAGGGTTGAACTGTGGGGCCCGCCCAGGCTGGCTCGGCAAGGGTTCCTGGTGCTCCACCCTGCCTGTCTGAGAACCAGGCCTCCCATCCTCCCCAGACACTGAACAAAGGCTTTTTGAAGAGGCTGAGGTATGACTGTGGGCTCAGGTCCTGAACCCCGCTGCCCACATTTGAATTCTGACACTGCCTTTTAAAGGCTGTGTGGTCTTGAGCAGGTGACCGAGCCTCTCTGCGCCTCAGCTCCCTCACTGGAGAAGTGGGGTGAGCTATCGTCTTGCTGCCTTGCTGGGAGGGGGATTTCCCAGACTCATCTGCGGGAGCTCTGAGCTCAGGTGCTGGAGGTGCCTCTTGTCCACTGGCCAAGGCTCTCTGTTTCCTGTGTCCAGGGCTCGCAGTGTGCCCAGGGAACACAAGGCCACACGAGCTGCTCCCCTCGGGCACCAGACCTCGCCCTGCTCATGGGCCTGAGTCCTCCCCTGGGCCAGGACAGGTGGGCCAGCCCCTGCTGTTGGCTGGGTAGAGGACACACACTGTTGGAAAGGTCACAGCCTGGGCTTCTCGGAAAGTGGCCTGGCTTGTGGCCCCCAGGGGACACTGCTCCTGACAGGGGGTGCTGTCCTTTGTGCCCCACCAGGCACCAGACAGGTCGGACCAGTTGGGAACCTGCAGGGAGCGGCCGTCCCATGAGGAGGGGGAGGCAGACAGGCCTGTCCTCCCTACAGCCTTGTGACACAGGCCACAGGCTACCCCTGGCCCAGCAGCAGGCTAGCGTGCCCCTCCAACCTGCTTTTACCACCTCTGGGGACGCAGGTGACCCAGTAGTACTTGTTCACCTCCATCCCCAGAGGCGGCGGGCAGGTTGCACCCACAGCACCGAGCCTGGGGTTTGAAGCAAGTGGCCCCGGTGTGGGTGGCGGAGGCCGCGTGTCGAGACGAGGGTCTGCGTTTCTGTCATGCCGAGGGACGAGGAAGGGAGACCCAAGGCCGAGACAGGTGTGTGGCACAGCCTGTGACCACGGGTAGGAACGATGCTTGACGGTTTCAACACTGCCGAGAGAAGTGTTCTCCCCACAGGAAATAAGTAGGTCAGGTGCCATCACCCGCTAGCTAGCTGGCCGTCGCCCCGCAGTGGGCATCGAGAGGACGCCCCACGTCCTGTCCACATCGTTGGGCTCGTTTCCCGGGTTCTGCCTCCTCCACCCAGACAGCCCCGATGGGAAACAATGAGTGGGCGTCAGCCTGGCTGGTCACACACGAGAGACTCGTCATCATGCCCCGAGCAACGCTGAGTAACCACCGTGTAGGAGACGCCCTGCCGGGCTGGGCGCTGAGCTGTCCCAGGGGAGCCGCGTGATTGCCCAGGTCCTGTGCAAACACCACGCCTTTTTCTATAAGGAAAAGAGCGCCTGGACTCAGTCACCGGGGGACGACTGTCCAGTTTCTGTCATTTAGAAATAAAATTTTAAAAAAACTGGGCTGGGGCTGGGGCTCAGTGGTGGAGCACTCGCCTGGCACGTGTGGGGCCCTGGGTTCGAGCCTCAGCATCACATAGAGATGAATGAAGGTATGGTGCCCACCTACAACTAAATGTATTTAAAAAAATTACTAATGACCAGTGAAGGTCTGAAAACTGTGCACTTTCTCCTGCGACCACAAGGCCAGACACCAACAGTGCACGGTCCCAGCTCAGGCGGCCAACCAGTGAGCCTGGACAGACCTGCACAGGTCTACCTGCCCCTCCCAGGATGGGGGTGGACCTGGAGGTCGGCCCAGGGAGTGTGGCCTGGGCATGCAGGGACACGGCAGGAGGCCCTCATCCAGAGGGACAGCGGGAGCAGCGTTGCCACGGCTGGGCCTCTCCCGGGCACGCGGCCAGGCCGTGCTTTGGTTTTCTGCGGATTTTCTTTCACTAGCGATTTTTAAAAGCTGCAAATGCACAGTGACTGCACTCTTGGAGGTTTATCCTGGGGAAATGAGAACTCTGACCCAGCAGAGGACTTGCCAGAACCTTCTCGGCAGCTCTCCAAGAGCTGGAGGCGACCTGGGAGCGTTCCCGTGGCTGACTCCTACTCAGCATCATCACCACGTGGAATTCTGTTACCACGTGGGGCAGTGCGTGCACTTTTAAAATTGTGCAGACTACCCCAAAATAAAATTTAAAGAAACATAATGCGTCACAGTGCCCCCCCACTGTCGCCCCCACCAGGTTCAGAGCAGCGCCCGCCCTGCCTGGAGCCAGCCCTGGTCACCATCCGGGGATGGACACACAGGTTCAGGTCTCCAGGAGGATCTTTGGAAACAGGGATGACAGCCACCTGCTCAGCTGCCTGCAGCTTTGTCACTGTCTGAGAAATGACCTGTCGCTCCACATCAGCGATGGCCCTGGTTCTGAGAGCTTGGTGGGATTCTGTTAGGTAGATTCACTTAACAAGTCCCCTTCTGCTTTTCAAAACTTAGTCACAGTGTTGAAAAGCAGAAGGGGACTTGTTAAGTGATCACTGTGAAACACCAACATAGGCCCTTGAACTTGCTGGTGGTGGATCCAGCGCCCCCTGGGGCTCAGTGCGCTCTGAGCAAACGGGAAAGTAAAGATTTTTATACCATTTACTAAAACACCAAAGTCCACAATAAAACCTTACCATTGTCGGAGACTTGCTTACACTGGAGACCGTACTTGGTCTTGTTTGATACAGGATGGTCTAGGAACCTGGAGACTCGGGGGTCCCCACACCACAGCAATCGGAAGAAGGATCTTTTCAATAAACCAACGAAAAATTTTAAATACCAAAACATTTGGGTCAAATATAGGCTCAAATGGAGAAATGAGTTTTGATTCTTGACTCACATCATATAAAATTGAGGTGGATTGCTAATCTACATGGGAAAAGCAAGCAAAATCTTTTTTAAAAAAGCAAAGGAATGATTTGGGTCAGACAAGTTTACGATGAGTGATAAGAGGACTCGTCGCAAACAGAAATTGGCTTCTGATGAAATCAAGGACTTGACGCAAAAAAGAAAACGTGCAGAGGGTGAGGGGCGGCTCACAAGAGGGGACGGGGACATTGCTGACATGGGCCCTCCCAACTGCAGGGACTCAGCCCAGAGCGCAGAAGGGCCCTCACGACCCGGACGGAGGTGCCCGCCTGGGAATCCTTGTAGGAGGAGGCAGCCTTGAACGAGATGACCCCCTGAGCACATGGGATGGGCTGTACGTGATTGGCCATTGGGAAATTAGAGCCACCAGGAGCTCTACGGCTGCGCCAGAGTGACAGGGGACCTCGGGCCTCCCTGGGCGAGGAGAGAGGGCACTCTGCCCTGGCTCCTAAGGGTACAAGTGGTAACCCTGAGGGGGTTGTTGGGTTCGCTGCGGGGTCCCCGGTCTGTCCTAAGAACATGATCAACAGAGCCAGAGGTTCCATCTGATGGTCACCATGGCCACCCCTTGCACAGCCGTCCTGCAGGAGTGTGCCCAGCTGCTGACCGCTCAGCCTCAGGCTCTGCCACCATCACCAATCCTGGGGGTTGAGGATCGTGGCTGCGAACCATCTCATGCCACTCTCCCACCATGTGCCTTTAGACTGCCCATCACCTGGGCCTTGAACGGGCTCCTGGTTTGCGGGGGACACGTCCCCACTGCGGAGCTCTGCCGTCCAGGTGCCATCCTTCTCTGGAGACTTTCTCTAACTGTCCTCCAGGTGGGCAGCCTCTTGGGGGAACCGCATGGCCATGCCTCAAGGCCGAGCCCTCCTGTCGCTGGCCAGCAGCCCAACGTCAGGGCACGTCCCCAGGGTGAGACAATCACGCCCCTCCAGAGACAGCACAAGAGCGTACGGGGCCATCGCCAGAAATAGGAGGAAATGGACGCGACCTAAACGTCCACCACAGAAGAACGAATGTGGTACAGCGGGGGATGGAGGCCACACAGCGAGAAGGGACCAGTGGGGCAGGACAGCGGCCCAGCAGCATCGGTGACCCCCAGATGGAGCCAAGGAAGCCTGGCCACGGGGCCAGCGCTGCGGGGTTCCATGGTCATCCCATCGCCTCAGGAGAAGCAGAGGGTGGGGTGTTCTCCAGGTGCCAGGCGGGACATTGACGTGGAAGGACA